TTTTGCAATAAATCGGACATTTGGCCATGTATCATTCATACACTATGTACATGGGCAAATAAAAGTTACCAAGTTTAACCTGTATTCAGTGAGCTGAAATAACTTAACAAACCCTTCTATTAATTAATCCAAACTAACTTGTGAACAATCCGAGGACAGCAGTCACCTTGCACTGCTATTCAAATACGTGTACAGTCAAAACCTGATAAGAAAAACACTGTTAAATATACAACATCCTGCTTATGACAAGGACAAGTTTAGGTCCCAAGTCTTCGCTTTTCTTTGTTTTCCATTACTGATAATACAAGGTACCGGTACCTGTTAAAAAACAAGGTAATTTAAGTCCCAAGGACTTTGTTACATTGTATAAAGGTGTTCCAATGTACATGATATTAATATTGATGCTTCGTTTTGAAAGAAAAAAAATACAATGTCTTATCTCATTCTGTGACTCAAGTTAAATGATCTTTGCACCTTGTCAAAATACCCAGAGCAAATTGATGAAAAAAGTCCCCAAACCTGAAACAACAGAGTCAGATTTTTATTACCTTGTTATTAAAGACAATGATCAATGGTTTATCCCCAAAGGCCTTCCCTCCTCACTATTCATATTCAGGCCTGGCTCACCACAAATAACTCTAGGGGATTACTGGTAGGATTACTAGTTTCAGATCCAAGATAAGCTTGTTAATCCCTCATTATTGATCCCCCAGCCTGTGTCACATGGCTCACTAGGCAAACACACAACATCCAAGCCCATCATGACAGGTTTGGGTGCTTATGGCCTGGCTTGTCTGGGATCTGATGAGAATGTAGAGTCACATATGGCACACTGCAGGCAGCTTGTTGTCGGTGCTGGTTGACTATTGTCAGTACAGGGACAATTACATTGTACATAGGGTTACGTAATGTCAGCCCAGGAGGGCTGGGGGCTTGGCTGTGATCAATCTATTGGAATAAATGGATAATTACCTCCAGCTGCAAACATGTGGCAGCCCACGAGTTTTTGCTCATAAACATGGAGTGAACCATGGAGGAAACTATGGCCTTACAAGTGCAGTTGTAAACTGCCAGGAATGACTGATGACAAGCTTAAAGCTTTAAGATGATTGGCGGTGTAAGCATGGTGTAAGCTACATTGCTAAAGTAAATTTAAATGGAATAGGGCTAAATGGTTTTTTTTTTTGTTCTGCCAAGATCTCTAGAGGCAGGTTGAGACATTTTTAAAGGTAATATACAACACTTGCAGATTGAAAAACCCAAATACCAAATTATTGTGAAATACCTTACTGGACTGCAAGTGATGAAAATTCTCATCCTGTGAAATCATGGCACCTACATAGTGTGCAGTCATTTTAAAAGTGGAATTTTTGTATCAATTTCCAATGATGGTCAGCCGAACATCGTTGGGGGAAAAAAAAATGACTTTCTACAAATACTGCCCCCAACTTTACAATGTAGTTAGTCCACATTTTGTTTGCAATTGATTACACATCCGCGAATGGGTGCAATCCAGCTGGTCTGGTTCCCTGACCTGACAATGTACATTTTTCCATTTCGTCTGAAGTAGGGTCAGGGAACCAAGTGTTTACAAGAACAACATTTTTTCCCTGGTTTTTCCAGCATCTATGAACACAAAAATTTACAGAGGTCAGTGAAACAATATTTGCTATAAAATACTAACCCCCAAATCCATCCATTTCTGAAAATTACAGCAAAAGCAACTGTTGTATTACTTTTAAATTGGTGAAGATAAATATTTTGGTATTCCTACAGATACAAAGGTTATATTTTCAAGGGAATAGAGAATGATTCAATTCAATGTTTTTTCTGTGCAAAATGTGAAATTTCCATTAAAAAAACCCATTGCACAGTAATGGTAGACATCAAGCAGTGTATTTTCTCACAAAGAAAAAATTGGAATTTGTACAATGTGCAAAAGTCTGTACACGTACCGGTACATCTTCCATCAGTGTCATAAAATAACCTGCATCTTGCGCAACTTTTGGCAGCAAATAAATCACCATTAATGCAAATGACCTTTCACGGTACACTACTTTGATCTGAATACAGTATAAATTTTAAAAAGCATATATTACAAAGCAAATTTTTCTCTGGGTTCATAAAAAGCTAACAAAAGATTTGACAACACAATAGATTGTACACACTGCGGATTTGCAAAGTTCTGCATTCCATAACTCCTGATGAAGTCGCATTCTGAAGCTTGTTAAAGCTGTTTTCCTTTCCACACAGGCCAAAATATCCACTCTATAGAATAAGGGATTGGCAAATCATGCAGTTTGTGAATGGTTATTGTGAAAGCCAACACTTGCCATAATCCCTTATTTTCATTCCTAACCTTCAACATTGCAAGAGGACAGTGATTACAATAAAAAGAAAAAATTCCGATGGAGTAAACAGTTGTGAAGCCCATCAAGAAGAGTTGGGCCACCTGGATCTTCTACACATTATTACGGAGAGAACTCCATAAAAAGCAGCTCTTTGTGACAAAATTAATGTGACGCCGTCGAATTTTCATGGAGGTAATTGACTCTTGTTGGTCCTTGGTATTTTTTTCAGAGAATTCCTCAAACCCTTTTTTTTTAAAATTTAGTTTACTAGTAGTAGTAAACTACTACTTGTTTGATCTTTTATTAAGAAAAATCCCTGGGCCATTCCGTGTACAATTTACAGTTTTTCTCCTGAATAAAAGTACCTTGTACATGTACAAATGTATGCTGGCCTGTTGTTGCCCCCCCCCCCCCCCAACAACAGGCCAGCCAGCCAACAGGGGGGGGGGGGGGGGCAAAAACAATAAGCATAAAAATATCTACAATGTGTTTTTTTTCTTGTGGTGTGCCCCACTAGCTGATACTGTGCCCCCCCCCCCTCCCTTAATGCCCCGTGATGGCGACGGTGCTTGTATTAAGCACACCTACATGTACATGTACAATGTATGTACATTACACGTATTTAACAAATGAATTTTGATTTCTGTCTGTATGATGCTCTTGAAACTCAATGATTAATAAACCACCATAATATAATTTATCAATCAGCCAGTTCAGGTACTACATCTTGCCCATGGGATAAAAATGTGATAAAACTTGTCACAAGTTTAGCAAGTACATGTACCTGTAAATGGCATGAATCAAACATTTTTAATAGTTTTTAACCTAACAGATGTACCGGTATTGAGCACATGATGGGTTTTTTTGAGGAAAGAGGACAGTGCTTAGTTTTTGGTACGTGTATTTATAGGATTGTTTGTAGGTCAACTCGCCCCCTCGCCCCCCTGAACTACTCGCCCCTTACCAACTTGTCCCCTACCAACTTCCACCATGGCCAACTTGTCCGCAACCAGCATATTTTTCTTGTGTAGAAAGATTTTTTTTTTACAAAAGGAACAGCTTACAAGTCTGTTTACCAAAAGGTATACATTACATGTATTTTTTTGCACCAGGTTGTCCAAACGTGTGTACGAACTAATACCGTCACATTAAATGATTCAATATCAACATGATCATGCAATAATATTAAAGATCTTTAAAAAAAGATCAGCTGGCGTCTAAAAAGAAAACAAAATCAGATCCTGCTGCGTTTAATGCATTTTGTGATTTGCCCTACTCCTCCTCTGACAAGTCTGATCATTCATCATTCATTATGGAGCAAAATAAAATGTTTTTAATTACTAACGAGTAACGTTAGCGATTTAGGCCCTAACTGTTAATGTTATTCCAGAAAGAATTCCATACACGGCCTCCACTCATAATCATATTCCTTAAAATTAAATAATTAATATGACCTAAAATTTAAAAAGTACCAAAAAGGCAAAACTAAACTCAGTTGAAAATCTGATGAACACTATTTTAGGAGTGCAAACATTCTTTGATAAGGCCAAAAAAATGTATACTTCTGCTTCCGATTTATCAAAAATAGGGTCGGTCGGTGGGACATTTTTTTTTGCCAATTTTTTTTATGCTGATTGAATGGAGTATTCAATTATAGGCCTATGCGAAGTTTCACTTTAGTTTCAGCCTGAAAGCTATACAAAAAAAATGGGCACAAATACATTTGATTTGGAATATTAATAAATAGTGAGTTACTTAGGCCTGGATTAAATTTAAATTGTTCGAATTAAATAAAATATTACGAATGTAGGCTACATAAATTGAGACATGCCAATTACCAACACGCTCCGCCTCAGCTCCAGGCCACGTACACGAAATTCGAAAACATGACAAGTCAAGAAGACGACGTCGAGCTCGAGATCAACGAGATAATCCGATATCGTGTTGCTGTGCTTACCTTTCCTTTCCACGAAGACTTCAGTGAAACAGAAACCGCTAAAGATAGAGCAGATGAGTAATGGTTGGCCATGACTTCCAAGCTTCCATCGCTAATTCATCAACCTAGCTGGCTGTCATTCAAGACGAAAAAGTAAGAAATCCGGCAGACAGGACTCCCGTAAAATGAGAAGAGAGCTAGCGCTAGCTAGTTATCGGTACCGTTTACAGCGCCACCACTCGATATCTGCGCGCCATGCTTGCTTGCGATATGCCACGCACCTGGCATTTTATCTATTTTTAGTCACTAAACACCTCAGTTTTCGGGGGACGGGATTTTCTTTAGAAAATTAAAAAAGGCTCATATATTCCAAGTAATTTCAGGAAGAAGTATTAATTTCAGAAGATACACGCCTGTGAAATAAACAAGAGATTATTTAGTTATAAAAATTTAAATTGAATTGTATTAAATCAGTACTACTAAATTAAAATATTTTCTCATCTCAAGACCAAATACCCCTAAAATGGTTTTGGAATAACCAAGAAATATTAACCTTTATTTATAATTTGACACCAACTTGCTACAGACGAAAGCACTCATTAGATGGTGTTTAGAACCCCCAGGTAAACCTTCGTGGTAAAATCCATATCTTAATTTGGAAAATCGTTATTACAATGTTTAGCATTATGTATCATTTTTAATCCTAGATTCTGAAGAATTCCGTCAGTTGTGAGTTAAACATCAAGCAAGGAAGGGTTGTCCGCTAGGAAGGAACACAAACAGGGCCGTGACCCGAAGTAGGTAGACGGCATTTTCCAAATAGGGAGGACACATTTTAAGACTGCAATACGGAGTTTAAATTTTATTTGTTACACATTATTTTGTGTCTGAATGAATCCGTAAAACTATTTCTACAGGACTAAATAAATATTTTCTGCTATTCTTTGGACTTTCTCATTCCCAACAGAATGATAAATTGTGGTACCACCCCCGCAGCCGGGCGATTCTATTTCGCTGCCGTGACCTTTTCCGTGTTGTATTCGATCATTTCGATGGGGGCGCCATTTTCACGGTCCGTAATGGCGTGGCGATCCAGCGGTTCGACACACGAAGAGCTTGTTTACAAGCTCAAACGTGAGTTCATTCTGTCCAAGGTTGCGATAAAATCGTTCCTTTGGTGCTACACATTTTAAAGGTTATGGTTAACTCCCGTTAGCATGACAAGCTTCCAGTGTTGAAGCAGTGAATGATGCATGTATCTGTGACAAGTTTTCTCTCTGGACCCCGGCCCCGCTACTGCAGTACTGTGCATGGGAACCAATCTCTGACTCGCATAATTTCCCCACCCTTTATAATTATATGTAGCCCCATGTGCCCGTACCCTACTCCCTAGCCCCATTAAAATTAAGCTCTAGTACCGGACTTCCTCCGTATTGTATTGTGGCCTTGAAGGGACATCACATATCGCAAATACTTCGCAAATATTTGCGATTTTGCAAATATTATTGTAAATAATAATATATCTCATGTATCTTGTAAATATTTGCGATATTTGTGATGTCTCAATTATTCCAAATAGCTGGCCTATCTTCGCAGATATTTATGATAATATTTGCCATGTCACGAATATTATTGCAAGAGAGCTGTTTGTGTTTTTGAGGGGTAGTTTTGCATAACAAGAGAGGATTTTAGTGCGATCATGTGCTCTCAGTTTCATGTGCGTTTGATTGAGGGGCAGTTTTGTTTTCATCTCGAGGGAGCACATTTATAACCGCGAGAGGGGCACTAAAAGTGTCCCTCCCCCCCCCCCCCCCTCCCGGTTCCGCCACCCCTGCTCTCAAGTACTGGACTTCCTCAATATTTAGAGCCACACAGCAATGCATGCTAAATTTCCTGAAAGTTGTGTTTCCTGAATTGTTTTCACATGATATTGACTATGGTCGCAAACACATTTGTTGGTATATATTATTGGTTGATAATTTGCAGGTTTACTTTCTTCACTTTGCAGAACATGGCATAATCAAATCAGAGAGTGTCCACGATGCTTTGAAACAAGTTGACAGAAAACATTACAGCAAGAGCAAAACTGACCCGTATGCAGACTCGCCCCAGGGAATAGGTGGGTGTGATTCTTTCCTTCCCAAGACCTTTCTGCGTCCTGCTGGCTTGTTATATACTTGGCACCATGTGGCAGAATTGTAGTCAATCACAAGTCATATCACAAGTCATACAAGTCAGATCACATATCAAGTAACAAGTCATATGACATGTCAAATCATGATTCTGATCACAAGTCATATCATAAGTTGTATCACAAGTCATCTCACAAGTCATACAAGTCAAATGACACATCAAGTCACAAGTCATATAACATGTCAAATCATGATTCTGATCACAAGTCATATCACAAGCTGTATCACAAGTCATCTCACAAGTCATACAAGTCAAATGACACATCAAGTCACAAGTCATATGACATGTCAAATCATGATTCTGATCACAAGTCATATCACAAGTCATATCACAAGTTGTATCACAATTCATCTCACAAGTCATACAAGTCAGATCACATATCAAGTCAAAAGTCATATGATATGTCAAATCATAATTCTGATCACAAGTCATATCACAAGTTGTATCACAAGTCATCTCACAAGTCATCCAAGTCAGATCACATATCAAGTAACAAGTCATATGACGTCAAATCATGATTCTGATCACAAGTCATATCACAAATCATATCACAAGTTGTATCACAAGTCATCTCACAAGTCATACAAGTCAAATGACACATCAAGTCACAGGTCATATGACATGTCAAATCATGATTCTGATCACAAGTCATATCACAAGTCATCACAAGTTGTATCACAAGTCATCTCACAAGTCATACAAGTCAGATCACATATCAAGTAACAAGTCAAATCACAAGTCAAATCACAGGTCAAATCACAAGTCATCACAAGTTGTATCACAAGTTGTATCACAAGTTGTATCACAACTCGTATCCCAAGTCAGATCACAAGTCTTATCACAAGTCACTTGCGATTGGCTCATGAATAACTTGTGACTTTGGTGACTTTGTCATTGTTCTGTGACTTGTGTCACGTCTTGCGACAACTTGGGGACATCTCTGCCATCAAATTGTTTGCAAGAGGGAACGTTTGAAAATTTGCTTGCAGAGGGAAAATTCAAAGGGCTTATTTGTGGATCATAAAAAAAGTAATGGTATTCTGTGGTGTACTGTACTGTGTGGCCGTCGCAGTACAAAATGGTAAATATAATGTTTATAAATGATATTTAGTTGCCACATATTTATTGAGCACTGGATACTATTAGGGCAAGAAAAAATGTGCAACGTTAAAGTTGGTCTTTCTTCTCTGCAGGTTATGCGGTTACTATTAGTGCACCTCATATGGTGAGTGTGGCTTTCTCTTAGACTAGGCATTCAGTGTGTCTAGATGTTGAAAAAAGAAGCAATATCTTAACCCTAACACTCGTACATCCTACAAAAATCCCTCACAAAGTAAAAGAGGAATGTTGAAGGATTGTGGGAGGTAGAACTTTTTTAAGAACAAAGCATGTTCCATTGGGTTCCTGTGCAAGAAGAATATTTTGGAGTGTTAGTAAATTATGCTTTAAGAGTTATTGTCCTGACTTAAGGCCCGTTCACACTATTGTCTCCCCTACCCTTGTTGAAAACATCACGGGTCGTCCGTAAGTAGAACTGGGTACCATCAAACACAGGTCAGCAAGGCATACTGTTCACGTCTTGCACTGGGCTGTACACAGGTCAGAGAGATTTTCTACTCGGGTAGAGCCTCCCAACCCTGGTCCTGACCAGGTCCTGAACCCGTGTTAAGAAGCCCTGTTGGATTTTTGCTAGAGTGAAAGGGGTTCCTGAAAATCTTGGTGTTAGACCTGGATCCAACACTGAGAGTTTGGATAGTGTGAAAGGCCCTCAAGATCCTTCAAAACCCACCCTGGGGTGTTGGAGGATTTTGAAGAACTGTGTAAGGTATCTCCGAAAGTACAAAGCATGTACCATTGGGTTCCTGTGCAGTACTTGGAGGATTTGGGAGGATTTGGGAGGATTTCGGTAATGCTCTTAAAGAGTCAGATGTCCTGATTTAGTATTTTGGTGCCTTCCTCGGGTAAAATAAAACTTGGACTGACAGACTGGACTTTCATTATCCGTTTCGTTAGTAAGAGGGTCATACACGCGCGCTCACCACTGATAACTAGCGCCCATTTGATAAACGCTTGAGTTGTGTTAACTCTCTGTTCCATTTGTGCTATGCTACACCTTGTGAAGTACGCATGGTTGAATTGAGATGACGTCACACAAACGAACCAGATCGAGTCCTCCATTACGTAAAGACATTTCCAATTGCTGAAGATACGTCTATTACAGCATTTTTTTCTTCTGTCTTTCACCAGCACGCCCATGCCCTTGAGCTCTTGAAGGATCATCTTACAGAGGGCAAGACTGCGTTAGATGTCGGTTCAGGTAGCGGCTATCTCACAGCATGTATGGGAATCATGGTGAGTCTGGTTTGGTCTTTTGGGTTAAAATTTTGCCCTGTACATTAAAATCTCCAGATAACTGAAATTCCTGGTGAAATGCCATTTCTAGTTTTATTTATTTATTTATTTATTTGTTTGTTTTTTGCTTCTAGTTGAAATTGAGTCTTTTGATTGTGACACTTGACTTGTAGCAATGGGTGCCACCATTTCTCAATAACATTTGAGGATGGCATATTTGCAGGGGCATAACTAACATTTGTGCTAACATTTGCGTGGGTTGAATGAAACCCCAATTCTATTGTAAGACTGCAAAAGTTGGGCATACATGAAGATGTTTATTATTTGTGCACCCATTGTTAAGTCACCCCGTTTGCCATCTTATTGCAGGTCGGGGAGACTGGACATGTCGTGGGCATCGACCATATCAAGGAGTTAGTTGATTGGTCCATAGCCAACGTCCAGAAGGAGCATGCTTACCTGTTGGAATCGGGCAGAGTCAAGCTCATCAGTAAGTGCACAACAGTGTTCATTCAGATCTCAATTCAGAGTCTGGGGTGTGTTTTGAACCCTCCTATGAGTCTTCTTCCCAGCTCAACCTTTCAAGTTTTGCAAAACCACTTTATCATTCGTATAGAGTTAGCGCCCATACTTCAAATTCCTCTGAGGCAATCTTCTGTGGAGTATGGATAACCCTTCAAATCCTTGCACAATTCTTTTGTGTGGTTAAAAAGCTCAGGGCAAGCAGGCAGACTCGGTCACGCTTCACTGCTCTCCACAGTGCTGTTTTTTGTGTGCATTGACTCTCTGTGTGTCACAGTTACTTTACTTTAAACACACCACGTACAAACACATTTTATGAGTTCAATTTCATTTTCAGGCATGATATTTTTCAGACTTTTTGTTTGAAATCGGACTTTTTGAATCTGAGAGAAAGACATTATTAGTGTAGAAAGTTATGCATTTCTCCAGACATTTCATCAATTTCCGGAAAATGACAATCTCATCCCTGCATGATTATTTTAAACATGTAGCTGGTGACGGAAGAAGAGGCTACCTTGAGGGAGCACCATATGATGCCATCCATGTTGGTGCAGCAGCCCCAGTTTTACCTCCAGCTGTAAGTTCTTAAAGTTGGCTCAATTTGACAACCACCTTGATTATACCACGGAGCTTGACCAAGCGTCTTTACCCTTGGCAGTAACGGTGCAGTTACGCACATTTGTACCTGGCATTTGCCCACATAAACTCCTGGGTGGGGAGAGGAAATTGAAGTAAAGTGTCTTGCCAAGGAACACAAGCACCATGATCCCCAACAGGATTAAAACCCTCCTTCTGTTGCACATGAGTTGGGGAAACAAAATAAGCTCCACGGGGAGATGTTGCAAATTTTGCAGAAGTGAGGAAAGTAGAGCCTAAATACTATTACTTTTAATAACCCTAACTGCCCTGAATCCTTCAAAATCCTCTTTGCCAAAGTGAAGGAATTCGGAGGATTGAGGTTACATGGCAAAAGTGCGTTACTAAGTTCATAGGATGCACTTTGTCAAGGTCTTGCGCCGGACATTGTGTTGTTTTTGCTCAGCCGTGCATACATATCTCAGCCGTGCATACATATAGGGTTGGATTATGCTTGAAATCCTCCGTACTGCTCCCGGATGTCACTGGCCCACCCTCAACATATGCCGCAGGATTTTGCAGGATTCAGGCAGTGGTCATCCCTCCACAGACCATATTCAAGAAATAATGGAGGGATTTGCAGGATTGAGGCTATATGTTATTTTTCCATGAGGCCAATTTGAGGATTTTGCAGGATTAAGGCTACATCCTAGCAGAAAGGCCTAGGGAGTTAGGGGTAAAGGTGAAAGTTCAAAGAATGTTCAATTGGTTTTCAGCCTTTTGGAGGATGCAGGAAGGTTTCTAGTCAAGTCATAATGCCAAGAGAGTCATGGTTATTGTTAGGATCCCAAGGTAACCTCCTTCTTACTCGAAAAAAAAATTTTGAAAATTTCTTGACAGCTAATAGAGCAGTTGAAACCGGGCGGCCGATTGATCATCCCCGTTGGTCCGCAGGGAGCCAATCAGATGCTAGAACAGTACGACAAAGACATGGAAGGCCGGGTGACAAAGAAGAACCTGATGGGCGTGGTCTATGTGCCACTGACGAGTAAAGAGCAACAGTGGCCTGGAAGGTGGTACTAAGAGTCAGTTAATATTCTCTGATTGTTATAGGAGTTCGGGGGTGGATCATGTGTTGCGTAGGGGGAGGGAGGCATATATATGTGACCATCTACCTTCAACGGGATGTCAAGTTGCATTGCACAGTCCTTCTGATTTGAAAATCACAGGCATGTGGAAAAAGGCACACCTGGTTTTTTCTAGGCATGTAATTTTTCTAGGCTTGTGATTTTTCTAGGCTTGTGATTTTTCTAGGCGTGTGATTTTTCTAGGTTTGTGATTCTGTGGTCCAAACAGGATTTTTTTTAGCCATCTGGTATTTTTTTTTTATAATATTCATCTTGGTTTACAGTAAAGCCATTTCAAGGGCTCACAGATTATGCCATAAATGTATGCCGTGGTGTGCAGTACAGAGGGATTCAGGCGTGCGATTATTCGCACTTCTCAGGAAGCTTTTAGGCTGCGATGGCGTTGGGGTGCGATCGCACGCCTCAAATCAGTAGGACTGTATTGCATTGTGAAAATTCAGTTAAAACTTAGTCAGGAATGATTAGTTTTTAGTTTTCTCCTTTTTGAGTATGGTATTTTCAAGCTGATGATGTACTTTCTTCAAGTATGTATGGACCTAAAAAACTGAAAGTTTTGACTAAACAGCCTGTAAGCCTGTAATCACACATATCCATCAGTTTTGTTCCAAGTCCAAATGACATGGCGGTTTTGTTGTGCTACAAAGAAAGTCTAGAATTATGCAGCACTTTGCAAAATGTTGGATATTGGTCAAGTCGAGAAGCTTCCATGAAGACTGTTCAGGGGGTTAGAGGTCAAGCTAAGAAAGGCATTGCAGTGTGCGCGGGTAAATCAACAGATAAAAGACCTTTTTAATTAAAAATCTGTGCTAGTATGGCATTTTCCACGCATGGTTGCAGGACCGAACAACAGTCTGTAGTACACATTATATTAGGGGTCCAAATTCACTCGACTATTTGCCAAGTATCAAATTTAGGTTGTAAAGTGGTCAGAAGACCGCAAACGGCCGTTACTTGAGCTTGCAGACTTGTCTTGACAGGATCCATGCCCTGTAGTGGGTCCAGTTAGACTCACTACAGGGATTTTATTTACTCAAATGTGGTTCTGTCAGAGGGGCTGAGGTTTGGCTTGGATTTTCACTGAACTCCTGTAAAGGGGCTCTCACCACTTTATTTGGCTATGTTTAAATGAGGAACTTGTGAAATATTAATTTTTTGACCGACAAATGTTGGAGTAATAAAAAAGATTTAAAAAAATGGATACACATTTTGGTACATTGCCTGCATGTTTTGTTTTTTTAAAAATTAACATGCTCTGCACGGACTCATATTGAAGTCAACAGATCAAACTCATATACAGTCGACTCTCGTTGTAACAAACTCGTTCGGACCTAGCCAAATTGTTTGTTATATCAGAGTTTTGTTTTAAGAGGAACATCAGTCCCATTCATTGTGCACATAAATGCACAGTCGGGACCAAGGCTTTATGTTTGTTATAACCAGAATTTTGTATTAACAGAGTTTTTAGTAACGAGAGTCGAATGTATCTGGCTTTCACTGAATTTTCCGAACTCGATTTTCATTGCTGCAGCCTTGTGAAGCCATAAACCTCTTTGTTCTTTCCAGACTTTTAGAGGCAATTCTGAAGCGGCAAAAGTCTGGAGAGAGCAAAGAGGCGGGACCTTCGTCGTGAAAAACAAAAGTTGAACTAGGTATGTCTGGTTTCGGACCCGTGGCAACAGTTGCATGGAAAGTGCCCAAGATGCCCATTGCTACTGTAATTGTTGCCAAAGATCAAACGTTGACATTTTAACCCATTACTCCGTGTAGTGCCAGAAATCGCCAAATACAAACACTCTGTAGGTTTATGTGAATAAATGCTGTTTAATACAGGGTGAGTCAGAATGATCTCGACCCAAATTAAAGAAAATATTAAGAATATGTAGCAATTATCAAAACAAGTGCAAATGAGATATGTTATAGGCCGGTATTTTGGACATATGTGGTGACAGTTTCATGGATATATCCATTGTGCCATTCTGAAGAAAAGCGCTAGCAACGAACACACGCTTGACCACGGTTCCTTGATTCAACAAATGTATTGAAATCACGTACTGATGTGAAGCAGTGTAATAACAAATAAAACCTAGTCATGGTGACTGACCCACTTGAAGTTATTAACATATTTAAAAAAGGCAAAACCGATTCCGTGTGCAGACTGGAAAATGAGCCACTTCAATGAAAATAGCTTAACTCCTCATCACAGCCACTTATTTGAAAAATTCAAAATTCCTGTGGCAGACAATGTAATAACCATTCATATGAATTACTATTTGCCATATTCCGACTCGCCCTGTACAATGTAGTATAGGTGCTGATGAGTTCAACTTTCAACGTAATCGAAGGGCCCTCTTGTCATTAACAGGATTGGCAAATTTTGAGGGGTTAGTATAACATCAAATATTGTTACACTGACATGTTTGAAGTTTTGTGTTCAAAAATGCTGGAAAAACCAAGAAAAACAAAAATGTTCCAGTAGTCTGGTTCCCTGACTCCACTAGAGATGAAATGGATCAATTTATAGATGCCGGAAAATTGTAAGGAAATGGAACCGGTCTAACTGGCCTGCACCCGTTCATGAACATGTAACCAATAGCAAACAAAATTTGGACTGAAAAAAAAAATGATAAATTTGGAGCAGTAGTTCAAAAATAGTTAAGTTTTTCCAACGGTGGTCGGCCGACCACTGTTGGAAACTCTTACAAAATACCACTTTTCTTGAAAATGGCTTCACACCAGGTGCCATAATTTTACAGGATGCTTTAGACTGTCATTTACCAACATCCTAGTAAGGTTTTTGGTAAAAAAAAATGGTAGTTTTGTTTTTCGATGTTTGCAAATGTTGTATATTCCCTTTAAGTTTAAATATCAGTTCTCTAAAAAAATTTGTTCTCTTTTCTGTTACAGGAGTAGAGATGATCTATAAGGAGCTCCTGATGGCCGTGACCTGCAGCTGTTAACCTTGACCCCTGCTGCATATTGTGGACTTGCTACTGCTGCCGTTTTGCCAGATGTCTTGTAAATATGCCCACAGTTTTCCTGAAATAATTATTGTAAATTGCATGAAGATTGTCAAACAATGTCTGGCAGAAATGGTCTGAAAGTGGCTTTCGACAGTATATTTTTAAAAAGTTGTTATTTTATAAACAAGCATAATCAGAAGTAAACTTCCTCTTTGAAAATATACATTTTTCTTTCTTTAGACAAGAGTGCAGCCTAGTTGTTTCCTTACATTTCTAATGTATAATTATATCAGCTTCCCAAATTTCACACCCAGGCCAAACCCAGTATCAATCTTGAGAACATTATCTTTTTACATTTCTAATGTGTAATTATATCAGCTTCCCAAATTTCACACCCAGGCCAAACCCAGTATCAATCTTGAGAACATTATCTTTTTCGTGGCCCAGAGAACTGCCTTGGAAAAATGGGTGTACATGTGAGTTGCGTTTTTGCTTGTATCCAATCAGCTTCTACTTTTTTTTTTTTTTTTTAATACTATTTCCTAGATACATTTGTACACATACATGTAGGACACATAGCGTGCCACATTTGCAGTATACATGTAATATTAAGACTCAAAATTTACCATATAGCGGAAGTAAGTATATGTACCTTTCTAGGAACATTTCAAATTATATTGTAAATACCCTAAGATACATGCTCATAATTTTTTGGGGGGAATATTCAAACCGACAAAAAGCTATTGGAATATTCAGTTGATTATCAAATATTCGAGTATTTGGGACAGCACTAATTTCTTGCAGTTGCTTTTCAAAAACATGGTTACCAGCCAAAACATCACACAGTTTACTGACTTGTCTGTGACTGGTTCTCATCTCTTTCTGCTAAGCACTTTATTGCAAAGCAATAATTTCTGCTTAGGCCAAAAAAAAAAAAAGGTTCTGCTTCCGATTACATGGCATTTGAAAATAAGGTAGGGAATTTTAATTTTTTTTTGTTGCAATTTTTGAGTACGATCATATGGAGGTGTCTGCGTGTAGTAAAGGGTAAAAGGTAGTAATTGATAGTTTTCGATTTTTTTCCCTCATTTTTCCACAAAAAAAATTAGGGTAGCGGCTGTCTAAATAGGGAAGGTACGGAAACCGGAAACAGAATTATTATTTTTTTTGGCCTTAACAGAATATATTAAATATATTAAAACGTTAGTCGGGTTTGGTCGGAGCATGTCGCAAATGTACTTTCCACATAAACTTTTAGTTGCTAGTAACTCGCTCGAGTTTTAAAAATATTTCATTTGATATACAGATCCAGTTTTACGAAGAGGTGCGTTGTTTTCTTAGCTTTTGAGTTTTGCCAAAAATTGAATTTTAAATTTATGGTGATGCAACCCGCTTCCAATTGACCTATTGCTGTTTGCGAGTTAGCCACGCCCTTAGGCCCCCCAAAAAAAGTCTCCAGTTTCTGGTATGCGCGCGGGTCGCCATAGCCATGCGCGTCGGCAAAATGAAAGTTTTTTTTACAGTGTAAGATGATGTTTTTTTTTTCAATGTAAGATGATGTCTCAAATCCGCCAAACTCACTGACTTGACTGGAATCCTGCTGCTGCACAATTTTAACATGTTTTTAGATGGGGTTACAATCGAGTATAAGCTTCATGTGGCTTCTCTGGATTCCCATATATTTTGCATTAAATTTAATCTGGCACCATTTGCAGTCACCAGCCGACATTTGATTAAAAAATAAGTAAAAGAAAAAAAAAAAGCCGCGTTGCCGCACCGCTTTTGGGGCAAGCTCCATACCAGAAACTGGAGACTTTTTTTTTTGGCCTTAGACAACCGTATGGGGAATTTGGTATGTTTTGTTTGTTTGTCTCAGATTTTGCGCATTCCGCATCCATTTGTTTTGTTTATCATGTAATTGGACAATATTTCACAAGCTGTGTTGACGGGATTCTATTGCGATGGGTCAATTGGACAAGAAATATCGCTATTATTTTTTTACAGTTATTTTTGTTTGATTTTGCTTTAAATAATAAAAAATTAATGTATGAAAAAACCACATACTATTGAGCCACACTTTCCTTTTTGGCATGGAGGGGTGTGGCAATATTTGTTAGAATTTCAAAGCTCGCATTTGATTGTACTGTGGGCCTTTATAAGAAATAGTGTGAGAAATTAAAATACATTTTCATTGCCTACAATTTGACAAGACAAGTCTTTAGGCCAGTTCATACTTCACAAGAATCTGAATAAGAATGCAATGTAAATTCGATGAAACATGGTCGCCGTGAAATTTGTTGGATTTGAAACGTGTTCAACTTTTGCGACTTTATAGCGGGAAAACTTGATGCAACTTCACAAATTCCCATTCGCGTTCGCGCCAAGTATGAACTGTCCTCTACCAGGTAGCTATAACGTCTTTTATTACTGAATTGTGCATTTATCCAATTTAAACTACATCCTTTCACATGTGCAGTGTAATAAAAGCAAGCCAGTACACTACCCACTGTGTTTGTAACAAATTGCTTATAACAGCCGAGCAGGAAACAATTGCCTAGTAATTTCATTGTTCTTGGCAAGAATGGCTGAACACCAGTCAAATGTAATACACCATGACAATTTGGCTGGCATTTTAAACCCGAGTATGAATCTGTATTCAATAGTGGACCCTGAACAAGAGAGGACATTGGGGTCCAGGATTGGGGCGACTGTCCACTTTTTGAGAGCGTGGACTACAAAACATATGGGAGTTCTTCCAAAAAAGTTAGTCCACCATTGAAGGCTTGTAATTTTTGTATTTGTTATTTTGTGCTTAGCAGCTCTATAAAATAGTGGCTGCTTATACAGAGATCTTTCAGTTTGAAAGTCTCATTAGGTTGCCTCAGGTTGGCCCGCGATTTGCTTGCGCCGCGACGCAACTGTCGGCATCAAGCAGAAAAGTAATGCTCGTGTCACAAAACTGTGAAGTCGTGTGACAAGCGGCATCTCGACACAAAGTAATCACAAACATGCTCGCGTCAACTTGGTGCAATTTCCCATTCCTTGGTGCTCTTTGGTAAAAAAAAAATTGAGGAGGTGCAGAAATAAAGGGCGCTGTTGGAGCTACCGCGGAACATTTTGGGAAAAAAAAAAGATTGACGCGCGTGATTAAAATCGACGCGCGCGCTGACCAGAGACTGACTTATTGTTTTTTTTGGCCTAATACTGATATGTTCCTGACGGTCGTAGCTCGATCCCGAAAGTCAGTTACCGACTGATTTGTGTCGTCACAAGGTCAACCTGAGAGCAGCTTTAGACAGTGGTTGCCTAGGATGCAATGCAGCGGTCTACATGTTGGAATTCACGTTAATAAAGCACACTTCAGAGCTACTTTTTTATAACATACTTCTGCCAGAACTTCTTGCATTTTACGCATGCACTGTAGACTATGGTTATGTGGACAATTATACTGAAAAACAAGTGTGATACTATTATGTCAACAACAAAAGATCGGATTGTTACTGGAATGCACAAGTCGGCTTATTTTATTTGCATCCTTTGTACATACAACTATTTATATCTGAGAAATTGGTTAAATTCGGTGATGAATAGTGTGTATACTATAGTTGTATACTAATATTTAGTAATTGTGAATCAAATACGTGTAAAAAGCAATTTATTTCATCCAATTTATTTCATGTTCTTGTTCTGCTAAATCCAACATTTGTAAAGTTCAATAATTTACAATTGTTTTGCTTTTTTACTGCAAGAAAAAAACCCATTTATTAGTATAGTGTACTAGCTTTATTACTTTTTATGTACATATTAAAATACAAAATATCTTCTTTGATTTTAAAGTTTGTGGCAGGCGATATGAATAGAAAAATAAAGAAGCAGCAAAATTCAATGAGAATTGTTCAAGACTTGCTTTTGTCAGGCATGCAACTTGGAAGAAACAAAAAACGAGGAAACTCCAATCTATATAAGACTTTGTATAGTGTTTTTCAATTTTTAATGGCACTAGTGTGAAGTGAAAAAAGAGGAAATCTGCTGATCCGAGGGAAAGTTGCATGCCTATTTCCACATCTTTCCTCTGTCAGCTGACCTAACAACATGAACTAGCAACATACCCCACTTGGGTCCAGTGCTGTTTCATAAACAGTCATGTTGAAATGAATTTGGTCAAAAAGAACCGAAAGCCCCAGTCAGACACTCGCGGTTGGAGCTACAAATATCCATGGTATGAGCGCGCCCTTTTACCTAACGACGTCCCATGGGTGGGACATTTCGCTGGTTGACGCGCACCGTTCCTTGTGTGTGACGCACGTACACCAGGCGATTTGTTCTATGTACACGCAGTGGCCGCGCCTTCGCGGCAAATGAATTGCAGTCGGGCAAGATGGCGTCGGTCGGTCATACCCAACTGTACTTGTGAACGGAGGGGATACCAAGGATCAATCGATCATGATGAATTGGTAAGGTTCGTGGAGAATTGACTTCCTAAAAATGCACTACGGTTTCAGGACGGATAGCCACGACTGTCGCACGGTTTCTCTACGAATACACCACGGTTTGTCAAGAATGTAGATGGATTGGTGAAGAATATTGATTGCATTTACTAAGAATAATGAAGTTAATGCCACGGGTGTCTGCAACTGGGTCACGGGTGACCAAGGTTCTTCTACAAATAAAGCATGGATATTCAAAGTACAACCTTAGCAGAACCCTAGCACATCCGGGCACATCCTTGGGACATTCGTAACGAATTTGCAGAGATTTCCACCACGAATGAGCAACAAATCTCCAAGAATATGCATGAATAGCTACGAATAGCACTATGAATATGTACAGTTTGCCTACAGATGTCCCATGGTTGCACTACGGATTAATTTTCATGATGCTCACCACTGAAGTTTGGAACAGTTTAAAACTTCCGTTCTACTAACAAGAATAAGATCATATTCATCTTTGGTTTTCCTGCGAACTAAGCGTGGATCAACAGTCCTGATTACTTCTGTTCCTGGGTCTGTCTTTTGAACTCCTCTGGTGCCACGAAGCGCAGACCGTATCTTGGTCTCTCACTGCCGTTCCACTTTGGACTACACGCTCCTGAAATATACACAGGAAAATTGACAAAAATATATTAAAGTAAAGTGTGGATAGACTGTATGATTGCTGTTCCCGACAGTGCTGTAGTCAAGTCTGTCTCAAGCCAAGCAAAAAGCTCCAAGTCAATTAAAAATACTATTTACATGAACCTTCCTTATGATAGATGTAACTACAGGTCTAGCTCCATGTGACAAAAGTGACCTTTTGTTTACAGATATGTCCAAGAGCAATTCAATCGAAGAATACTAATCGACTAGTGGTTGATTCACGATGTGACTTATGCCCGGGCACAAAGTCTAGATTTGATGGTCAAAAAATCATGAAACTTATTGGTTCTGGCTCCCCGCTTCCCATTACTGCGCACACAGCTATTCTAACTAACAATGTGACCGACCTCAGCCTGGTCCTTAATAAACAACTACACTAGTTCAACTGGTCGACATAGCTTTGGTTTCAAGCAAAGATAGTCTAACGTGGATTAACCGTGGACTCTGTTGGCTCAAGATACAAGTACCAAGTGGTGCAACCCACGGCAGCGAGGTAACATGTGAAGACGGCTTAAGGCACCGTTTGTGCACCCGGGCCGTACCGGTACCTCGCGAGTACAGAAAACCAAAACAAATGGGCTGTGATCTAATGTGCAAAAATATGCAAATTAGACGCATCTTCGAATCCGGTCTTCGAATGCAAAGCTGTAATACTCAAGTTGCATGAATACAATATATGGCCAACCAACCCACCCACTCACCCTTCCACCCACCAACCAACCAACATTACTTCGCTCGTACCCCCCGCCCTGCAAACAGGACGCTGGGAAGGGCTGACGAATTAACGCTCTGATTGGATAGATTTTGCGTGACCTGTTACCTGCAAGTCATCATGACAACCCTGCAAGGTTTGAAACGGCCGTTTAAAACCGAGTCATTCATCACTCCCATTTATAAATGCAGCGCCCTTTTTGGTTGAAAAGCATAATAATGTAGGAAAATCTGTAAAACTTTTCTGTTACTGTAAGGCTCGGTTTCGAATTCACGTAGGGTCGAAAGGCATATCATTCGACGCACAAAATTTGTCCACATGGTCCGCAATGTAACAGAAATCACATCTGGTATGGTGTGTATGCATTTCTATGGCAAATTTTTCGATTGCATTTGCGCGCATTGGCTAACCGCGGTCAACAGCTGCAGCCAGATGCTTTATACATACATGTAGGTCATGATAAATGACCCAGAATACCATCCCCACTTCCTTCACAAGATTCTGTGAAGCTCATCTGCCCTTCCCAGCGCCCTGCTTGCAGGGCTGGGGTACGAGCGAACCAACATTACCAGCTCAAGCCCACGGCGTGTTTCACACCCGCCGTGGGAAAATGTGCAGTTTAAAACAGTGAGAAGAGGAGACAACAACACTGTATGCCAACTCAACACTAATGTGAACATATATTACCATTACACGCTATTTCCAGGCTCCAGATCCTGATGCACAGTAAAGCATGGGTGCAGAAACACAAAGGTAATGCATTATGTTATAAAAAATACCACCAAATGTGGAAATACTTGAAAATAATTAGATCAATCGCCACATGAAATAGCGACATATAGCTGGGACTCCTGTTGGGCATGGAAATGATGATGGCATTTGTAACGGTTTATCATAGCGTTATACCAAATTACTAGAGCGCTAACTCCTCATTCTTACGCGTGGAGATACTTTGAAGCCATCCTGGGTGCAGACATTTTTGAATTCATGTGCTTGCTTGCAGAATATAATGCAATTAGATGGAGTGAATTTTAAAAGTGTACTCTAGATGCAACGCGCATACTCAAACAACTTAAGCGCGTCATGACGCTAAAAAAATGTAACGGCTATATCATATAAAACCGCAGATACACGCATGCATTTGCATTGTTTACGGAGAGACTGTGCGTTTCAGTTTCGGGCATATCGGCTTCGATGACGCACCTGTTTAGCTGTAAAAAGCCGTACAAAATTTCAAGTTTTCCATAGGTTTGTGCACAAACATGGATGCGCCCAGCAGCCATCACTTCGTACATCGAGTGAGTGCTCTAGTAATTTGATACAGCTCTATGCGGTCATTCCACTTTTACTTGTGACAGGACTTCCGATGGACTCGACTACAACATTATTTGCCATGTTGCATATGAAAAGGTCAACATGAGGGGATGATGAAATCCCCATTTCCATGAACTCAGAATGACATCTGCTACCACTTAAGATGAGTTCAGGAGAACTACAGGGTGAGTAAAAAAAAAAAGAAACCCAAATGTTGGGACCATTGTTTTAGTGAAGTTCTGCATGAAGCACTTTCAAAATATAGGATATAAAAGCCCGATTCATAAGCTTTCTTTAAGTACAAGAATCATTCAAATCACTTACGTACTTTTCAAGTTACAGAATTTTAAACACAACCACTGTTTTAAGGTTCTGTCCACGGATAACAAAAAAAATCAGTATTCTTTCAGCAAAACGAAAACAAATCACATAGGGATGTGTGTGAATTGTTTTCGTTTTGCAAAAAGAACGCACACCTTTTTTGTGATCCGTGGACAGATCTTTAAAATGGTGGTTGTGTTTAAAATTCCGTAACTTGAAAAGTACATGAGTGATTTGAAAGATTCTTGTACTAAAAGAAAGCTTATGAATTGGGCTTTCATGTCCTAGATTTTGAAGTTCAATAAAACAATAGTCCCGACATTTTGGTTTCGTTTTTTTTACTCACCCTGTACACTCTCATACTTCACAAACTAGTGCTCAGGAAGTACCACATGCTCACAGCAAGGGGAGGGAGTGTGTCTTGAAAAGAATGACCTCACCTTTCAAGTTGAAGACATCCTGATGGTTGTGTCGGAGGTGCAACTGGCCTGCCTTCGGGTACAGAAAGGCATTGTTCAGTTCTCCCATCCTACGTCGGAGCTCGGCTTGCTCATGGCCGCTCAGCTGACTCTCGTTGCTCCGTCGACGTCTAGGCTCCTGCAGTCTGGGAGAAAGGATGATGGCCCGCTTGTTACAGCAAGCAGGGGACAATCAGCAAGTCCAAGGCCCATTTGCTATGATGTGCATGTAGGCATAGCTATATTGACATTTATCTTTAAGTAAACTTAAATCCTCGATCCTGATTGGTCGATCCATGGCAACAAGTTGGCTACATATAACCATGTAGCACAGTCTCGGTCCATACCGCACTCCGCGTATTCTGCTGTTCCAAGATGCGAGCGACATTCCAGCTGCATACGCTAAACTGCTGAATGTCCGTGTAAAGCGTGCTCTTTCAAACTGTACTGCGCGTCAAGTTTGCTTGAAGATAAATTCGTTATCACGCTCGCGCTCGTGGAACACAGAAAATGTAGTGCGTCTGTGTCCCGCATACCACTCAGCCTTCGGCCTCGTGGTACGTGGGACACAGATGTACTACATTAATCCGCGTTCTACTCGCGCTCGCGGGATAACTATAGTATAACAAGTTGGACCTAAAATGCAGCATGTGCCCCTACTCTGAGTAGGGCATACTGTACACTTTACATTAGGTAGTCAGGTTGGCATAGTGATACTTTCCACGCCTTCCACCTCTGTGACCCAGATTCAAATCCCACCCAGGCCAATTGCACCAGAGATTGTGTTTTTAGTCCCTACCTGATTTTGTAGCTTTCCCCAGAATATCCATTCAGGCTCTCTCCTTTCTTCACTGTACTCCTCTAGATTTCTTCAGGCTTGCGACGTACCATGTTTTTGCACTTTTAAAGAATCCTTGGTGTCATTACCAGAACACATTAAAAATTGACAGCATTCTCTACAGTTCCAACTCAAACCCAACTTGTCAATGACCAAAAAAAATACCACGTAAGAATAGCCTCCTTGTGGTCAATATTAGGTTTTGCCCTACACCGACGTATAAACACTGTACGCTCAGCGTGTTACCTCCCGAGTGAAAGTTAGAAAAAAACCACTCAGGTGGGACTCGAACCCACGACCTCCTGCTTGCGGGATCGGTTGGCTGGTCCGAATCTGATGTACATTTTACAGCGGGTACAGCAACTGAAACTGGGCGGCATGGGTGGCTTGTGCGTAAAGCGCTCGCCTCTCACCAAGGTGACCACGGTTTGAATCCTGGCCGCGGATCACATGTGAGTAGAGTTGTGCGTTGGTTCTCTCCTGTGCCACGAGGGTTTTTCTCCGGGCCCTCTGGTTTTCCTCCCTCCGGAAAAATCAGACACTTTCGATCTCAGGCTGTGCCACAGGCGCCTTTACGTGCCAGCGGCCCGACCACGTTGTAGCCGCGTCCTTTGCAATTCAGCAAACCAGCTACGAGTAAGGATGATTAGCCTCCCAAATTATTATTATTACTATTCATAAGATGGAATTTGCCTCCTTGAAGATTATGACATGCCTACCTGAGAGGCAGCACCACTTTTGCATTGTACGGTGACTTGACGGTGCGGTGGTCAGGGATGGAGTGACTACGTCTTGTTGGAATCACGACGTTCTTACTGCCGTCCTGGTGGCTGCCTGTTACAAACAAAATGCCCTTTTAACCCATGAAATTTTGACCAGCACTTTATAACAAAATTGTTGACTTCTATATGATTTGTAGTTTATAATGCTCACGGTATCTTAGATAATAATGCCTTTAAATTTTCAGTCTAAGAAGGGATTTTCAAACCTCAGTTTGGGTACCTTGAAGGAGTGAAACTGAAGTTTTTAAGATGACACAGGCTCTAAGATTTCAAATTTCTTTTAAATTTTATTTAGGTTTATTGTTAAATTAATATTTTTACAAATGAATTTCAAATCCAAAATGTTCAGGGAAATTGTTTTAGTTACATTTCTGTACAGCTTTCCAAAAAGTAACTGGCATAATTACTGTTGATAAACATACTTGGTTGAAAGATAGTAAGGGGACTAAACTCCCAGTGAAAAAATTCTTTCTGGCAAGCTGTCATTTTGAAGAAAGAAGGCCTAATTCAAATTAGTAGTTTGTTTTGTTATTCAGCAAAGCGCACGCAAGCATTGGCACGACGCACACGTGCGCGCAGTTGCTATAATTCGTCGGATCAGTGTGCAACATCGCGTAGCTGCAGTCAGCTCAGTGAGAACATGTCTCGGACGCTGCATTCAGGCCCAATTCAAAACATGATTCAGCAACTTTTGATTTGAAATCGAGATCCTAGAATGTTGTTTTTCTCGAAATATACAGCTGAAGCTGAGCTGAAACTTCATCAGGTTAGTTGTTCTGCACCCTTCTTTAGATCTTGAGCACTTTTGTTGCTTCAAACGAACAAAATGCACAAATTACAAATGATGGACTATACCTTTAACACTACTTTCAAATTTGATCTTATTGGGAACCTTTGCTGTACCTGCTTTGTAGTTTGGTGCAAACGTGATGACCGTTGGAGCTTGGAGTGACTTCTTTCTATTGATGTAGTCTTGGTTCTTTCTGTGCAGCCAAGCTTCGTGCTTCTGCCTTCTGGAATCATGCCTGCAGATCACTCCATACACTTTAACGCATATTTGTATACAACTTCACTTATGCTACATTTTACTGGAAGGGCATTTTTCGCATCATTTTCACAAAATTCAGCAGTGCAGTACAAACCATTACCTCTATTGCGTGTGTCTCACCCATCACAAATTTCATCATCATGAAATGATTAGGATTATAGGTCTCGTTCAAATGACGTCATTCCTACAGACCATCCACGTGTATCAGCATTTTCAGCGTAACTGCGTCATATTTTGAACTCAATTCGAGCAACAAGCCCGCTTGTTTTGAACATTTTCAACACTGCGCAATGCGTGCTTGATTGCGTAAAATACGCAGTTGCAGTTATTGAGCCGTCATTGAGTGAGCCCTATTAGTACAGGAAAATTCACAGCATTGTCGTTGGGGTTCATGAAAAGCTGGTTGCCCCTTCAGACAACTTCAAGACTTTCCCATCCCACTATTTGAAGTTTTAAGAAAATATTACCAAATGCTACAGTTTGGAGATATTCAACAGGTTTTTAATGTTTCAAGTCAAAACTGGAAATAGAGCCGAATCTGGAGATACACAGCCGAGTTTTGGAAAATGACCAAGTAAAAATATATTCATAAGATGGAAGTTGCGTCAGGGTGATGTAAATTCAATATTGGGTTTTGCCCATCACTGACATATTGTTAAAATAATATCTATAGGTAAAAACATAAACCGGTTTCCCATCCCCATCCTTTCCTTTTTCCTGCCTGGCTTCTTTTATTTAGTTTTTTTTTTTAATTTATACTTTTGCAATACATCTTGCAAATTATATTGTCAATATATTGTCTTTTCAATTTGTGTCCCAAAAAATTGTAGCTACATGTATGTAGAAAGGTTGCAGGCTCCTTTGGACATGAATCCATCCACCATTTTGAACAATCCGCCGACTTGGGGTTAAAAAAAAAAGGGGAGCCTCCTTCATTTTTCCAAAACGCCGGGTTGAGAATTTTTTTTTAAACTCAGTCTAATTACCTGTCACTACTGCAAATATTTTCCCATGCCGAGTCCTCATCACTCTCATCGCCATGACGATCCTGGCTGTCTCCTCTCACCATGGACTTGGGATGAGAGGCAAGGAACTCATCCAGGCTGGCTGCTGCTGACGCATTGGCTCTCTGAATTACAGTGATATTATCTGCATTTCAATGTTCACGTTTCTTTTTTCGTTATGGAATTTTGAATTTCTTCAACATATATCAAGAACAAACCGTGCTAATGCATTTGTTTGGTCGTAGATATAAGCACAAATTTGTGAAAAATGTGTGACGTCATCATGACATCATAGAAAAATGCCACTTTTTAAAACACATGTAAGGGAAAATCTTATTGTTATAAAACTTTGTGGGAAATTATTTGTTATATGCAAAATCCAAAGTTAAATCCAGGGAAAAAAAAAATTAAAAATCAATTCTGTGTACACTAACATCATGATGACGTCGTCTGTTGATTTTTTGGTGAATTTAATGCCACTTTATAAGGGAAAATCTGATTGTTATAAAACTTGGTGGGAAGTTATATCTTATACGCAAACTCCAAAGTTAAATCCAGGAAAAAAAAAAACAATTTTCCCCAATTCTGTGTACACTTACATCACAATAATCGTCTGTTGATTTTTTGGTGAATTTGTAAATTTTGCAGATTTTTTTCTTCTAAAAATTTAACATTGTCTCTTATCAGATCGACTCCAAACTTGCCACAGACAAAGACCACATAATATATGTGTCATCAAGGCAAAACGCAGCTGGGCTGGTGTAGTAAGAATTTCGGACCATGAAAAACTGATTCACTGGTAGTATTGCGCATGCATATACGTGGGAAATTTGAACGTTCAACCAATGAAACGTTAAAAGGCACCGGATTTCATGGGCTATCGACCAATAGGAATGCCGAAACTGTCTTAGGTATTTATGAATACATGTTTATTGTGATTCTGAGGATAAGGCTTTGTACCTGGAACCTCTCCTCAATGTCGTGCAATCTTCTGACGACGGCCACATCCGCCATGGATCTCTCTCTCCTGTCCTCTTCTTTCCTCTCCACATCTTTGACCAGCAGTCGACAGCTCTTCTCCAGCTCGGTCTTGAGTTCCTCGAGCCTTCCCACTAGCTCCTTCTTCTGACTCCTGGCCTGTCTGCGCGCCTCCGACAGCTCGGGGGCTTGGGAGTTGATGACCACGTCCAGAAATTCCACGTTGTCTGGCGGGATTCATGGATTGATAAACCATCACATGTGGGTCATTCTGTAAATTTAGCGTCCAATGTAAGAGGTTTTCCTGTCCCTGCTACCTTGGTATTTGTAATTTGTCATTCAAGTATTTTTGATGTGTTGGATGGGTAGTTCGCTATTCGAAATCGCTCTTGGAGGACGACTCATTACGGAGTGCAAAAACGTGTAGCCAACATTTTATACAAAAACCCATATAAATATTGACAAAGACTAACAAATATAAAGTGGCTGTGATTGTTCGATCATTTTTTCAAGCTTATGACTCAGATTCAATGACTATTCACTGGGTAGAATCACTGACTTTAATGACAATTTGACTAATGGACTTTGTGAATGCGATCAAACTAAAGTCATTTGTCGGGAACTTTCATTTGGAGATTCAGGCCAAAATAGGGCCACTTCATCACATCACTTCATCACTTCTTTTGGTGTTTCAACTTCCATAATTTTTGAACTAAAGATGTATCAGCATGCAGTTTTCACAGCAGTAATGCTGAGATTGAGCTCCTTTCAAACCTTTCAAAAAAAATTACCAGGGTCGACAAACATCTCATTTACATTGTAGCAATTAATCCATTTTGCTCACCAATTTCTACCCAAGATCGCATCACAAATTGAGTTAATTTACTGATTCATTCATTGGATTGATCAATTGATTGACTGATTTAAATTTAAAAGTTAAGTTTTTTCGTACAAAATTTCAATGTGACTCAGACAACTTAAATCTTTACATAATAAAAAAGCTCAATAAAAAAACATCTTTGCCACAGCATTTGCTCACATTCGTTTTGAATGAAAAATATATCTGGTTCACCAGTCCGTTTTCCTGAGCTGTTTAATTCTGTGAGTTACATCATAAGATCTGAAGGTTGTGACGTCTTGTGCATGGGACTAGAAAAGTTCAAACTTAGGTTCAATTAAAAATTCATTTGATTTTGTTCAAAGGACAAGAAGAAAGTAAAATAACTACTACGTTCCGGACAAAATGAAGGCCAAACCTTGCAAATACGTGTTCCAGTTGTTGAGTTTCGTCTGTAGTTCTTCGGCATCCACACCACCGTTGCTATTACGTGACAATCTCTCAAGTGCCTCCTTGTCTATCCAATCAGAGCTGGGCTTGAGCAAGGCACTATCGGTACTCATGCCATCGTTGGATGCCAGATTTTGAGATGGATGTTGGTCTTTGGCCGAGTCATCTGTTAACTGGATATTTTCTTCGTCCTGCCCTTGTGGGCTTGGCTGTTTTCCCGTCTCAGATCCTTCTTGGTGTTTCTCTTCCTCCGAGGTGCTCCTCCCTCCCGCATCGTCATCTTCATCCTCTTTCCTTGGGTCTGGGTCCCCGGCTTCTACCTCACATTGCCATAACTCCTCAGGGATGTCGGCGCCATGCTTGGCCCCCAAGGAGCGGAGGTAGTCCTCACACTGTGCGCTGGATTTCTCCTTGGCGCAGTCGAGGGGAGTTTGTGGCTTCTGCAAAAAAGGCAAATTCATGTATCAGGGTCCAATTTCACTTCGCTGCTAAGCGAGGAAATATATTTAGCACAGAAAATACTTGCTAGGAAAAAGAAAGGGTACCAACAAAACAGCTTATTATTATGTATATTGCTTTGGCTGATTCTCAGCTGGTCTTGCTTAGCACAGAAAATTTGCTAAACAATATATTTTCTACTGGTTAGAAATATATGTAATTGGCCAACATCAGCTGAGGACCAATAAAGATCAATACGCATGGCGTTATGGAAGGTAGGGTAGACGTCCTGAATACAACTTTTACGGGCGTAAAAATATAAACCTACGGAACTAAACGTGTGCGTAACGCAACTTTTTCCCCACGCGCTGAAACGTGGTGCCGCCCATTGCAGAAGCACGTGACTGCACGCAATGCCGAACTTAGGCACACGGTGCCGAATTTCCAGACAACATGAACGTCTTTCAAAGTCACGTGACATTACCAAAGCAGGTTCGGGATTGATTAAGTTTTGGTATCGCAACATGCACTATGCCCACATGCTGTGTGTTGACGGGAGTACCGGGTAAATCGATACTGCATATGTCGAAAAATAATAATCGACTCTTATGGTGCCGAAATTCGGGACGTCTACCCTACTTCTTTATGGGCCCCTCCGCAGTATCTTCCAAACTTATTGTTCACTTATCTTCAACATTATTCAAAGTGTTTTTCTGCTATTCTCTATCAGATTCTCATTGTCACTGTAATTGATATTTTGTGGAAATAAACTGAACTGAACTGAACTACTTTTGCTAAATAGATATGTTCTGTGCTTAGTAGATTGCTGTGTTCAGCAGCTTGCAGCCCAAGATTTTCAGCAATGAATTGAAGCAAACACAGATAATAAATTGGTATATGTAGAACCATTGAATTAATGTCTAATACGAACTATAACTAATTCAGGCCAGAATGCAATCACTGGAAAAACAAGCCAAGGTAAGCCTACTATCGGTAGCCTACAATGTAGTAAAGCAGGTCCCAGATCACACAAATTGTGTTCAATTGATTCAGAATGGGTATTCATGGTAGGTCTTTTATGCATCTGGTCTACACACATAAACAACTCATCTGAGCTTGTCTACAAAATGTACGGCAAGGTTTGTCTACATGCGTGATATGCCGCGTCCGCGTATAGAACAACGCACAGAACATGTAGAACAATGCGCATGCGCCATGATCGCCGGCAGCTGGCTTCCTGACAGAAATTTGACCACTTAAAGACTGCAGTCACGCGCCGAGTCTCGCACATGCACACGCACGACACGCAAGTGCCATATCACGCCTCTAACCTGAAATTTAGGGAAGTCGTTTATCCTTGAGTAGAGGATCTGTGGTCTACACAATGGGCCAGATTTAGACCTATTCATTGGCGTACCGGGGTAATCCTATATGATAGCACTGCCAAGCTCACAAATGCAGTCCTTCTGCTTTGAAAATCACAGGCGTGTGGAAAAAGGCACACCTGGATTTTTGTAGGTGTGTGCTTTTTCTAGGTGTGTGTTTTTTCTAGGTGTGTGGTTTTCTAGGTGTGTGATCTGTGGTCCAGGGAAATTCAGGCGTGCAATTATTCACACTTCTCGGGAAGCTTTTAGGTGTGCGATGGTGTGGGGGTGTGATCGCACGCCTCAAATCAGAAGGACTGAAATGAGTCAGTCAGTCAGTCAGTCAATGAAATCGGTACAAAGAGGACACTAGGCTGGCACTTTGGGACCAGTAACGCCAACAGATTTTGATGTTACAAGATGCACACATACACTCAGTTTGGGGGATTTGGAAGATGACTTGAAAGTCCATTGATAAAAATCACATCTTCAATTCTACGTTCCATTATGAATTGAAAAATTGCAATGAGTGATCTAAGTGTGCTGTATCTTACCTCTTTTTCTTTGAAAACTGAATTGATGTTTGCCTTATGATGAACCAGAAGTTTACACAGCAACAAATTGTTCTTCAAGGCAGCGAGATGCAAGGATGTACGCCCGGCCCCATCTCTTGTTTCGACATTGCAGCCGTGCTCCAACAAAAATGACACAATATCTGTGAGCCAAGAAATGATTTTAGGTTATTAATTAAAACACACTGAACATGACTTATCGTATCATGCTCGGGTCTATTAAAGGTACAGTACATCATTTGCAGCTATCCAAAAGGTAATGAAATTATTGTTGAAACGCAAACTTGGTTTAAAGATGGTAATGGTACTAAACTCCCTATGAAATTATTCTTTCTGGCATGATGTCATTTTGAAGAAAACAATAAAAGAAGACCTTTTCCAACGATGCATCTAAAGACGCACTTTTGGAAATTTCCGGTAGTAGTTCGTTTTGCGCGCAAGCATTGACACAAGCACACGCCATGCGCAGTTGCTTTTATTCGCAAGTTCAGTGTGTGACATCGCATAGCTGCAATCGACTGAATGGCGAACGTGTCCCAAACATTGACTTCAAGGGCAATTAAAAACATGACTCAGCAACTTTTGAAATGAAATCAAGATCCTAGAAAATTGTTTTCTCGGAAAATACAGCATTCACTGAGCTGAAACTTCACCCTGCTTTAGATTTTAAGCACTTTTATAGCTTTAAGAAAAAAATGCAAAAATGACATATGATGTACTCTGCCTTTAAATCTATTGTATATGTACATGTATACCAGCAGAATCCTGTTAAGAGAGAGTATATTGGGTACTGAACTGTCTGAGATGTTGGTTGCTCAATTTGAGATTGTTTTGCCTTTTAGTTTGCCAATCACAGCATCAACTATGCTTAACCAGAGTTTAACTAACTTAACTTGGATGCATGCTAGTTGATCAGAGATGTTTGCCTTGTGACTCAGACTCAGGTTCAAGTTTCACTTGCATCACTTTTTGGTGACTCTGACAGTGTCTGACTCAAACTCAATTCACTATTAACCAGTGTTGAAAAATACAGTGGGAACTCGATGCTTCGGACAGTACGCTCTGCCCATCATCCGCAGTAGACAATTAATGCGAGACAGACTGTCATCATAATTGTTTTAGGGCAAGCTAGCTACCTGTGTACCCGGCCTCAGCACAATGGGTGAGTGGAGTGTCTTTGCTCATCGTAGGGAGACTGAATGAAGCCCGGTAGTCATGCAACAGCTTCAGTAAGGGGAGAGAGCCTCGGACTGCAGCGCAGAATGCAGGACTGAAGAAAGGAAGTCGAGACATGTCAATGGATGGTTAGAACATTATCCAATCTTGAGATTTAAAGTTTGGTATGACTGGGCTCTACTGAAAATATTTCATTTAATGGATCACTCCCACGCTAACAGATTATGGAGGAAATCTGCATTTTTGAGCAAGAATAGCATTTACTACACAGTGCACTCAATTTGGTTTCCAAATTTTTTTATGCAACACTCAAAAATTAATATCCATTGATAAAGAGGGAAATTATAAGTTGAACACTATGGATTTCAAATTTGGATCTTTAATATTCCGATGTAAAATTACTTGAACTCATCCACAATGGGTGTTCTTTTCGACTTTTCAGGTTGGCATAGTGGTACTTTCCTCGTCTTTTACCATTGTAACCTGGGTTCGAATCCCACATGGGCCAACATGTGGATTGGGTTTTCAGTCCCTACTCAGTTGATTCTGTGGGTTTTTCCTAGAATATTCTTCTGTGGTCCCCCCCCCACTTCTAAAACTATTATTTCTTCTCATTGTCTCCTCTCCACAGCTAGGTTTCTTCAGGCTTGCCAACTACAGTGCCTAGGGCACTTTTGAGGAATCCTTGGTTTCATTACCAGAAATAAATATCATAATAATATAATAACCAAGGTCAATCAAAAGGCATTTGAATTGTACAAACTTTAGCATTTAAAAAGGGTCCATTCAAAATATTTTTGCCAAAGTTAAATGACATTATGAATCTTTCTGAGGCGGAAGACACAATAAGTCACCTTTTCCCGGCCTGATCTTGCCAGTTTGGCGAGGCTCCGTACTTGAGTAGATTGCGAGCACACTCGAAATGTTCCATGGTGATGGCGTAGAACAGCGGCGTGCAGCCTTTCTTGTCGACCGGGTTGGGATCACACCTACAGTCCCTCAGGAGCGATTCCAGGCAGGCTGGGTGGTTGCGACAGGTTGCACAGTGCAGTGCTGATGAATAAAGTGAAGAATACCGACAGCATTAGTAGGGAGCCTGAAGGCCAGGAACGTGGTGTTTGTGCCCTTGGGCAAGACACTTAACTACAATTACCTCTCTCCATCCAGGAGTATAAATGGGTACCTGTGAGGGTCAAGGACCGATTGAGTGCTGATATCGCCTGCCGCGTGATCCCACGGCCTGATGACGGGGTGATCATTGTAAAGCGCTTTGAGATTGTTGATACGATGGAAAGTGCTATAAAAGCCCAATTATTATTATTATTATTATTTAGCATGATGAGCTCAAACACTCACAGATCTTTGAGAAATCCACCAAGAAGTTTTCGAGGATTTTGCAGGATTTGAGAAGTGAGAGCAAAGAATGCGCCATTGGGCTCCTCCACACTGGGGGATTTCGGAGGATTCAGGAAAATTTCTTCCAAAATGCCTCAAGGTTAAGATGTTTCCAGGGAGTTCATTTGGCAAATTTTGCATTCTTTGTCACATCAATGGTGTTTACCCAACTGGGTCATTCCATAAACTTGGGGTCCAAAAGTGTGACATTCTTGTTTGTCCCTGTTACACCTGACCTGTGAAATTTGCCATTCAAGTAATCATTCAACTTGACTCCACCCAATTTTGGTGGTTTTGGGGGTTTTTTTGGCAGGTACTTTGCTTTGCAATCACTTTTGGAGATAGAAGGCCTTACAGAATGTGTCCTGAATTACAAAATCTTATACATGTCAGATGTAACAGGAACACACAAAAAATTTACCCCAAATTTATGAGATGAACCAACTACTATAACTTGCCTTTATTTTAGCATTTCAAAATTTACCAAATATTTTCTAAAATTAATATGGCCAATAATTTCTTTTTAAACAAAAATTACAAAAACACCAACAGCGCGGTGTTTTGACTTATATAAATATATACTTCATGCTAATTAACATGTAGAACCGTTCTGGGTGTTCCAGATATAGCAACTGTTTATTTTACAGAAACACTGCATATATGACTGGCCCTTTACCATGGTTTTTGTTGAATGTCTCTTTCAGTTTAGGTGAGGGAACTTCAGGATCTTTTCCCGTCTTGTATGTGCACAGGTGTATTTCCGTATTGCAAACATCAGAGTAAGGCACACGGTGTGTGCTAAGGATTCATGTGTATTCAGTGCCTAAGTAACATCTGATTTTGGTGCTTACGAACTGTTCTACATGCAACTGTACACCCTCAATAATATTTTGGGGACTTTACAACAACAAGGTTGTTCTCGAACCACTCGTGTTGCCTGTTTTCTTTTTGATTTTTTTGATAGAGTGAGGTGTGCACTGTAGGGTGGCAATGGCAAGGGGTAGTCATGCGGATGAAAGGACCCTGATCAGTGTAGAAATAATTGTGGGTAGTAATGAGGGTGGAATTGTATGAACTGCTAATAAGGACCTCAAATGATTTCACTTGTGGGGTACTTCCCCCTTTGTACCAGTACCCCACAAGTGGCCCTGGTCAGTACGGACGTACAGACATAGTGATTGCATGGTCTCTTTCCTGAACTTCGTTCATTCGAGACAAAAACAATCTATTTATGCTATTCATAAAGAAAGATCATCATTTGAATATGGAATTTCAAAAATGCCACATTTTAATCAAATACCTTTGAAACTTATACTTTTTAATCTAATATATCACCTTACTTTTAAATCTTGTACCGGTGGATGTTTTGTCTTAGGATATTTTTTTTATGACGGTTCTTATTTGAAAGGTTTAGGCCAAAAAAAAAAAGTCTCCGGTTTCTGGTATGGAGCTTGCCCCAAAAGTGGTGCGGCGACGCGGCTTTTTTTTTTTTTTTTTACCCTTTTTTTTTTTTTTTTTTGGCTTCAAATGTCGGCTGATGACTGCAAATGGTGCCCGACTAAACTTAGTGCAAATATATGGGAATCCAGAGAGGCCACATAAAGCTTATTCTCGATCATAACCCCATCTAAAAACACGTTAAAATTGTGCAGCAGCAGGATTCCAGTCAAACCAGTGAGTTTGGCGGTTTTGAGACATCATCTTGTATTGAAAAAAAAACTTTTTCATTTTGCCGACGCGCATGGCTATGGCGACGCGCGCGCATACCAGAAACCGGAGACTTTTTTTTTTTTGGCCTTACATTAGTATATGTTTTATGTATGGCAGATTGAATTTATGAGAAGTGCACGGTTTAAATGATATTGTCTTATTTTCTTGATACTTACAACTCCAACTAACTAACCTGTTAAGCCATTTTCATCTGCCATGGTTGTGTCCGCCTTCAGGTCCACCAGAAGCCTACAGGCGCGGACGTTACCAGAGCTGGCCGCCCACAAGAGCGGCGACTTGCCGCCGCTATCCACGCAATTCACCGAGCTGCCTCCCTTACGCAGCAGGGCCTGCAGGCATCGCAGCCCCACGGTGGCCGTAGATGGGTCGCCACACATCTGGGTGGCATAGTGGATTGGGTAGCCGCCGTGTGTGTCTGGTGTAGCCGGGTTGCATCCACGCTCGATGAGAAGCGCGATGATGTTGTACAGGCCGCACACTGTAACATAGATAAAAAAATGTCAGGCATTTTGATAAACTGGGAAACTAGAGTGCTACATGTATGTTGATCAGGAAGTCCAAGGTTCAAATCCAACTCAAGTCACTTTTTTTGGTAAGATTGTGATTCAAAATGAACCTAATCAGTTTCCCTTTGTGGTTTGCTTTTAGATTTGTTCAATGGCAGTTTAAAAAGTAAGCTCTATTTGTATGCCACAAGACGGCACCCTTTTTTGATGATGGCGTCATCATGAAGTTTTTGGTGTCTGCCATTCCTCACTAAACACTTCTATAATTTATTTTTATATAGTAAAATGTTTCCACTTTTTAGTAATATTCAATTTCCTTTGCACCACCGAAAGTGAAGGTCAAGCAGTTTTGTGCCTTGGAATACGAAATGTCGCTGAAGGCACCGTCTTCAAAAACGAACCCGATACTCCTTTCAGTTAAAAAACAAACAAACTGAAACTACTTTGTCAAACTTTGCCCCTAAATCGCTTGTAATTTGATTCTTGATGACGTACGTGTAACCACATTTATAACATCTTTGTACCAGGGTTCAGATTCATACCAGGTTTTATCGGCATCCCATGAACTGTTTGGAAGAAATTTCAGCTTGTTTGAAATTCAGGCTCATGTCTAGCCTCTAAAAATTTTTTTTTCGCGACCCGAGCTGTTATGACTTTTTAGCCTCGAGCTTTGCGCATCTTTTGATACCAAAAACATAAAAATCACACCACGGGTTGCCACGTAGCAAAAAAATTTTCGGCGCTATGCGCCGTGAAAACTGAATTTATGCATATACGTCGTGACACAGAGCATAATTGCCATTCGTACATATGAATAATTAATTAGCCATAATTCCAAAACCCTTTGACCTATAGTCATGAAATTTCTTGGGTATGTTTAGGAAGAGTTGCTCTATGCATTTGTCGAGTTTCAACATTTTTCGTCACTCGATGGCCGAGATCTTAGGGGGGGGTGGAATCCCCCCCCCCCCCCCCCCCCCCCCCCCCCCCCCCCCCTGCTGAGAGATGGTCAAAATAACCCGGCCCCTTTAGGGTTAAGAGGTATAGATGAAAGAAGTTGCTCAGTTTTCAACGAAAATCGCTTATAATTTGATACCCGATGACGTCATTGTGACATGAGGGTCAATATCTGGTGAAATTTACAATTTCATACCATAAACCATTGAGGAGAAAACTCACGGAGAATAGTTATTAAGAAAGAAAGAAAACAAGCATTAATCGGAACAATTCTAAACAGTGGTCGGGCCGACCCGACCACTGTTTAGAATTGTTCCGATTAATCTTTTGTGCTTGGGTCAGCCCGACCATTGTTTAGAATTGTTCCGATTAATCTTTGTTGGGTTGTGCCCGACCACTCAAAAAGAAGGAAGGCTACAGAAAATAGAAAACAACATCTCATTAAATGCAGAGAGCTGTGCACACTCCGACCTTCTGAATTCTCCTGTGTAGTACTTGCCTAATCCTGGTCAATCAATTCAATCCACAAAAGGTTTTGGGTATAAAGTCAATAATCAATCAATAAGCATGCCTATTGTCAACAGTGCCATTTGATCTTGTTTGCCTTCCAAAGTCAGCCTCTCAAATTGCAAACTTTCTTGAGTTGATGAAAAGGCAGAAATCAATCAGGACAGTATTGATGTACGTCTGTACATGTACAGGGATTGATGAAAATCTCAGATTTGACATTAAGTAGACAGAGGCCCTTTCTAAAAGCCGTACCACTGCCCTGCCACTGCCTTGCCAAACTCAATTGAATTGAGCTGTGCACTTGTGGCCTAAATCCGTACTGGGGGCACTGTTTATGTACATCTGATCCAAACTGGTATGCTTGCAATACATCAAGACGGTGCGGTTTGCTCTCCGTTTTTCAGTGATACTTAATACATTTAGGCTGTTGGAAAGTTAGTAATTAACCTTAAAATCAACATTTTTTTGTCCATCATCAAAAAGTCTGGAGGATGGGCCAATGGCCCATCCCCCCTGGTCAGTGAGGGGGGGGGGGGGGGGGGGGGGGGGGGGGAGGAGGAGGGTGTTGATATTCTCCCCCCTACTGCTGTTCGGAACAGTAACACCACGGCCAACCCTGTCAAGCCAAAGGACGGTGCCATGCCGAACTCAATTTGCCCGAGCCAAATGGTTCTAAACACCATGCTAAAGCTGAAAAAGTCAAATTAATTGAGTTTGGCACAGCAGTAGCACAGCATTCAGAACAGGCCTGACTGGTCATTTAGCATTGCATGTAAGACATTTTCTCGGTGCTGGCAACTTTTTGTAACTTTGATTATAATGTTATCAATTGATATGATTTGTGGTATTTTTGTGCGTTTCTTGGGTAGTACTTCCTTATTTTCTTGGGGGGGGGTTGAAACGGAAAGGCTGTTTCATACAGAGTTAGTACAATCTGGTTGCATTTCAAGAAGTACTCCCACTTTTAAAGAAAAACATGTACGTGAAAAATATAAGTTTTTTCTGATTTCATATAGAAAACTATTTTGGCACACTTCTATGATGATGATCTCACCTGTTGCCCAATGCACAGCGGAATGCTTCTCCTTATCGACCGCATTCACGTCCACGTGTGGCAACACCAACTGGACGAGCTCAATGTCGCCCTCTATAGTCGCCAGATGCAATGCGTTCCTGCCCTCCGCATCGGTAACGGCAGCCAGGGAGGGGTCTGTTTCTATGAGCGCCCTGACACAGTCGTTGTGGTGGTGCTCGATGGCATGGTGCACTGCGGTCTTGCCTGACTTGTCAGTCACATCAAGGGTGGCCTGGTGGTAAACCAACAATCAACAGTTTTTACATTAAAGGGAAAATACAACATTTGCAAACATCAAAAAATAAAACTACCAAATCGTTTTGAAATACCTTGCTGGACTGTTAGTGAATGACAGTGTAAAGCATCCTGTAAAATCATGGCACCTGGTATACTGTCATTTTCAAGAAAGTGGTATTTTTGTATCAATTTCCAACGCTGATCGGCCGACCAGCGTTGGAAAAAACTGGCTTTTTTTCAAATACTGGCCCCAGCTTGACCATCGCACTTGTTTGCAATCGATTACACACCTATGAACGGGTACAAGCCAGCTAGACTGGTTCCCTGACCTTACAATTCCCCAATGTATGTAAACTGTTCTGTTTCTTCTTAAATGGAGTCAGGGAACCAGACTACAGGAAAATGATTGTTTTTCTTGGTTTTTATAGCATTTTCGAACCCAAAACCTCAAAAAAGTCAGTGTAACTATATTTGCTATATATTTCCAACCCTCTAATTCCATCCATTTCTGAAAATTACAGCAAAAGCAAATGATGTATATTCCCTTTAACAGCTTTAAATTGGTCTCGAGGGCATAAAAACTGGGTTAGATTCATGGCCACACCATGCCAGTTGTACACACAAAGATGCTACGTGCGGATTTGTGCACCTTCATGAAAATTGTTTGTTCAAACCAATCTTGTGAGTTGTCACACAGCGTCATCTCCTGTATGTGCAGGGGGTTCATACATTATGCTACTGTGAAATAAATGTTTGATAAACCAGAGGTGAAAAGTCTGTTTCTAGGTTATTTCTCCCCACCCCCACACCTGTTTTTTAAGCTGAGGTTTCTTCAACAGAAACATGATCATTCGTTACGAGAAAAAAAAATCCAATTTGTTGAAGTTGTAAAAATTTAGATTTACTTATAAGAAAATGCTTTAATAACGTGAAATATAGTTGATGTTAAATTAAACCAAAAAATCACCAACTGTTTTTGGAAAAATATAAGTTACTAACCCTAACTCCCTAGCATGATTTACTAGGAACCATACCCGTCCTGGCAAATTCCAACACCATATGGGAAACTGCACACACATATTTCTGACTTTGTTTCTGGAGGTGTGCCAACCCAATGTAAAAGACTGTCAGTTTAGGGGCACCGTACCCATCCTGACAGATTCTAACAAAACATGCCGTTGGGGTTTGATGGGTTGAGTTCTGTTAGGGCTAAGCTCCAAACAGGAAGTTTGGCAAAGTCTTGTGGCCACTTCATGGAAAGCAACGTAAAAGCAAAGTCAGTCTGTGACAATATTCTTTAATTTGGCAGTCTTCCTCAAATATTTCATCAGGGGGAAAAAATTACCTATGCTGAAACTAGTAGTCAGTACTGGTATGCTTATTGAGTAATAAATAATAAATTAGACATATTCCTGTGGTGAGTACAACTGTTAACCATTCCAATCACAGACTTCAAAATATTCCCACTCACTCCAAAATCGATCAGCATTTCCATAACCTCAGAGCCCCCTTTGCTGCAGGCTACCATCAACGGTGTCAAGCCGTCCCCGTCAGCGATGTCTAGGTACTCGGGCTCTACCTGACCCTGCTCCAAGATCAACCTGAGCACCTCTGGATTATGACAAGCACTGGCCGCAGAAATCACTGTGATGTTGTTTACGTCTGCAGCGTATGACTTGGCTCCGTGTCTGTATCATTAAAGGTACGTGTACAGAAAAGTACAATAATAAGGTAAGAATTGTTTTCAACAGTTTGGATAGTTTACTGACATTTACGCGTGCAGTGTAGTGAGGTTTCTAAATTGAGGTTCATCACACTAGATATTGGTGGTGTAAAACCATTTGGGTCACGCTATTTGCAGCACCACTCTTTTTCGCGCGTCTTGCCTCTTTGGCCTAATCTTGAGACCCATCTTAACATGTTGACAGCACAGTGTCTCCACGGGAAAGATTTCCATATAAGAAGTTCACTCAACACCCTGTGTACAAATCCTATGAGAGTGGACTGAAAAAATCTAAGTGTTTTCTAAGAATTTGCTTGTATTTTCTCACTGCTCAAATTGACTTTGATGACATGAAATTGCTATCTGGGGGCTTGTTAGTCAATACAGAGGAAAATTAGTGAACTTCTTATATGGAAATCTTTCCTCTCCACGTTCTATATCTGTGGCACAGTCATACTCTATTTCACTATGGTATTTTTCTGGTTTTGTTTTGTTTTTGTTTTTTTGGTCCCAAGAAAAACATTTCTCTCCTTTCTTTCCAAACTTTACTTCAGCCTGGCACTGCTCACAAAAACTGTAAATCTTTTACACAAATCAGAAATCTTTTACAAACAATAAGCAAATAAACAAACAAAAAAATAATGTGAGGATGGCACAGTTCTCTTAAGTTCTATTTCACAAGGATGTCTGTCTGATGTTTTTTTTCTTCCAAGAGTAACAAAGTTCTTTTTTTTTTCAAACATGAAAAACTGTGCTGATTTAATGTCATTGGCATGTATCTTAAAAAAAACACCTTAAATTCATCACCAGAAATGTATACCAACAATAAAAAAGGGACAAAAACTAACCGCAAATTAGAAAAATAATTCAGAGAAAGCAAACAAAATATCTCCATATTAGACAAAAATAATATTTTCACAATTTCAAAACAATGCTGGTCATGAACGTTCAGTTCAATACACCAAAGTCACGCTCTTTGCCAGTATCCTCCTTGCAATAAGTCCATATACATTAATTTAGTCTATATCAGCGCCAGTAATAATCTCACAATCAAACCACCACCATTCAATTTTTAATACAGCCAGAGCCAGTGCAAAATTCACCCATGCACATTTTTTTATACACTTTATCCTATTTTGATTTTTTTTCCTACCACCAGACGTGACAAAACCTTGACAACAGTACGACACAGTTATTAGTCGCACGTGTGTGCATTGGTGGTTTGGTGCATTCATGTTGATTTAGAACCGACATATTTCTCAACATATATTGAGATTAAAAAAAAAAATATTGTAGAGTAACAGCTGTCATCAAGTTGTTTTTTTCAGAAAACAAACAATACTTGTTCTCCAAAAAAAAAATTCAAATTTAAATGATAAAAACAAAACATGGGCAAAAGTATTAACTAAAATCAAACTTGGAATTAAAATATAATAAATGAAAAAAAAATTCAGCTTCCCATCACAAAATATCACAGACTTGTTTTTTGACAACTAACTCTGGTTTATAAATAGTGAACAATACACGTCAATAAAATAAATTGTGGCGAGAGCAACTTTGTAACCTGCGTTCACAATTCATGTTGTATCTCAGGGGGTGCGGAGGGGGAATCCTTCCCCCTGCAGTGACCGAAGCTTTCTCAAATAAGGCCATTTTTACACTTGAGAGAGCTCTTCTGCCCCTCCCCCCAGTAACCTCTCTGGATCCACCCTTATATATAATTAAATGCTCCTGATTTTAAAAATGGGCAAACCAAACACCAGCTTCCACACAAAAAAAAAAAAAAAATCAACCAAGTTCAGTGCTGATGTCAGATTATAGATAGATATCAACTGCTCTTCAAGAACAATCACTCACCTTAACAGAAGTTCAAGCAAATCCGTCCGTTCTGCCCAAGCGGCGATGTGAGCGGCAGTCTGTTTCTCCCGGTTGCAGGCGTCTGGTTTTGCACCGTAGCGCAGAAGGATCTTGACGGCTTGCACGTGACCCAGCTGGGCAGCGTACATGAGCAGCGGTGTGCCTTCCACATCTCGCTGCTCCAACACCTGTAGTGAGTTAATTAATTTAAAAAAAAAGCACCTGTCAATGTATTGGGAAACCAGCTTAAGATCAATATAAAGTATTCTGGCAATGACAAATTAATATACACCTGCTGGTGGCATATGTTTTGGGTGCAGGAGGGGTGGGGTCGGGGAGGTTGGCATTTCTTTTTTCTGAAAAAAAGTGACATTAAAGGGAATGTACATCATTGCTGTAATTTTCAGAAATGAACTATTTGAGGGGTTAGTATAATAGATCAAATATTGTTTCACTGACATGTTTGAAGTTTTGTGTTCAAAAATGCTGGAAGAACCAAGCAAAACAAAAAATGTTCAAGTAGTCTGGTTCCCTGACTCCACTGAAGATGAAATGGATCAATTTATAGATGCCGGAAAATTGTAAGGTACGGTAAGGGAACCAGTCTAGCTGGTCTGCACCCGTTCATGACGTGTAACCAACAGCAAACAAATTTTGGACTGAAAAAATGGTACATTTGGAGCAGTGGTTGAACAAATAGTTAGGTTTTTCCAACGGTGGTCGGCCGACCACTGTTGGACATTTATACAAAATACCACTTTTCTTGAAAATGACTTCACACCAGGTGCCATAATTTTACAGGATGCTTTAGACTGTCATTTATCAACATCATAGTAAGGTATTTCGTAAATATTTGATAGTTTTGTTTTTCGATGTTTGCAAATGTTGTATATATAATCTTTATGGACAAAAAATATATTAAAGGGAATATATTCCCTTTAATATATTTTTTGTCCATAAAGATTATATTTTTTTTTAAATTCTATTACAAGTAGCCGGCCTAGGATTACACAAGGGAATTTGTTGTGTTCCAATTTCTTGGAACAGTTACAGTTAAAGGGAATATACATCATTTGCTTTTGCTGTAATTTTCAGAAATGGATGGAATTGGGGGGTTGGAAATATATAGCAAATATAGTTACACTGACCTTTTTGAGGTTTTGGGTTCGAAAACGCTATAAAAACAAAGAAAAACAATCATTTTCCTGTAGTCTGGTTCCCTGACTCCATATAAGAAGAAACAGAGCAGTTTACATACGTTGGGGAATTGTAAGGTCAGGGAACCAGTCTAGCTGGCTCGTGCCCGTTCATAGGTTTGTAATCGATTGCAAACAAGTGCGATGGTCAATTGTGGCCAGTATTTGAAAAAAAAGCCAGTTTTTTCCAACGCTGATCGGCCGATCAGCGTTGGAAATTGATACAAAAATACCACTTTTCTTGAAAATGACAGTATACCAGGTGCCATGATTTTACAGGATGCTTTACACTGTCATTCACTAACAGTCCAGCAAGGTATTTCAAAATGATTTGGTAGTTTTATTTTTTGATGTTTGCAAATGTTGTATTTTCCCTTTAACTGTTAAGAGGAACACATTGACAAGCCAAAATTTTGCTACGAAGCTTGTAGTAACGGCTGCAGCACTTTCATGTACCAACCAAAAACAAATGAGTGAAGATAAATGTAAAACCTCATTACCACACTTACAATAAACCCTTTGCGCAATAAGCCAATTACTCTGATACAACCAATGTGAGTGATCCAAGTCAATAGCCCATTGAACACTTCCAAGGTTAATTTCCACAGTACTTCACAGCAATTCTATTGATTTACAACAGAATTCTCATTAAGTGACTGACTCAAAGCCATTGGAATTCATTACTCTCTCAGTTCATTTTCAAGTGGTGGGAGTATTCCATATGCAGCATACAACCTTGGCTTACTTCCATCAATGGTCGAGAGGCATTCATATCAAAATGAGAAGTAGAATATAATAGTAGTCTTGATGCAAGACTGTAATTTTAAAATCCAGGCAGTATTGATTGTCTGCAAAGGTCTTAAAAAAATTCTAAGAATAGTCCAAAACCATTCTGGTGAGACAGAAAAAATGAATGCAACAACGATCTCTCAGATTAGGCCCCCCCAAAAAAGTCTCCGGTTTCTGGTATGGAGCTTGCCCAAAAAGTGGTGCGGCGACGCGGCTTTATTTTGTTTACCTGATTTTTTTTGCCTCAAATGTCGGCTGATGACTGCAAATGGTGCCCAACTAAACTTAGTGCAAATATATGGGAGTCCAGAGAGGCCACATAAAGCTTATTCTCGATCATAACCCCATCCAAAAACACGTTAAAATTGTGCAGCAGCAGGATTCCAGTCAAACCAGTGAGTTTGGCGGTTTTGAGACATCATCTTTCATTGAAAAATTTTTTTTTTCACTTTGCCGACGCGCATGGCTACGGCGACACGCGCGCATACCAGAAACCGGAGACTTTTTTTTTTTTGGCAAATGAGAAGTAGAATATAATAGTAGTCTTGATGCAAGACTGTAATTTTAAAATCCAGGCAGTATTGATTATCTGCAAAGGTCTTAAAAAATTCTAAGAATAGTCCAAAACCATTCTGGCGAGACAGAAAAAAAAACCAACGGATCTCTCAGATTAGTCTTGTGGTGCAAAACAGGTAAACAAGATATGCTCAATGCAGACTGGCAAACAATGTTCACACCAAGCATTGGGCCACTTAAAGTAAAATACCCCATGCAAGTCAAAAAGTAGATTTTTTTTCTCCTAGTCCTAACAACTTTTCAATGTGTATATTTTGCTAACCAAAAAACCTACTTTATTCCAATTTTGACATCTGCAACACTCTGAAAAAAAGGGCTTTCATTTTGTGCATAAGACACATAGATGAGTCCGTCCTGCAAGAGCCTAATTATTGTCTGGCAGCTAATAATTCAAATTTTGTGAAGAAATAATTTGATAACTAAATGTCAGTGGATTTTTTGTATTTTGTCTCATTCAAAATTGAATTTACTTTTATACTTCTGGGCAATTAAGAATTGAAACAAAAAAAACATTCTATTTTTTCCAGGTGAATATCAAGTATAGCACGGGAATGCATCATTAAGGGCCGGGCGAGGGTTAATTGAGGGAGGTGCACAAAAGAAATAATGTAATTTATGTCTTACACACACAAAGCCATACATTCGTTTTTTGGACAAAACATCATGGAAAAGTAAAGACAATTTGAAATGTTGGCGAAAGGTAGAAAGGAGGGGAGTTCTTTATAACACTGGCCTATTTCCATTATTATAATTTTGCTGCTAAATTAACAATAAAAAACGGCTGCGGATTAAGGATACTACACCTGTATACATGTACATGTAGTACTCGTACTTTACATACCTACCGGTTAAACTTGTACAAGTGTGTGGGGTATCAAGAACATTATTAGTCGTGCATGAATAGACGTTTTGCTTAAATTTCTCCACAGGTGTTTTCAACATATTCAAATTTCTTCTCTTCAACAAATTTTCAATTTGAAAGTTATTTTTTCCTAATTTGGATGTTTTCAATCCTCTGAAAATACGCGGTCTTATTATTTTTTTTTATGTCTCATTCAAAAGTGAATAACTTTTGTATTAGAGCCTAAAAATTTGCAATTTAAAAAGAATGTATTTTTTTCTGGAGTAAAACTTGGAATTAGCATGGGAAGCGCTTGCCCCGTGATGTCAGTACCTTTGTGCTTGCGTTGAACCTTTGCGCAGCAATATTGACGCCACAAGTGGGGGCAAAGGGGAGCGCAACCTTATTAACTAAATGTTTTGCAATCCCTAATTAACTTTTTTGAATTTAAATTTTAAAAATACGTCATGGAAAAAGAACGGCAAAATTGGCGGAAAGAATGTTGCAACCTGACACTACATGTAAGTCTATGGACAATCAAGAAAATTTTCCTAACAAAACTGGAAATGTTTCTCAGTCCCAGATTCATGGCTTATCAATCATTTCTGCAACGACTTACCTTCATTGAGAATGATAAATTTGATATTACGAAGAAAAAAAGCAGTTTGGGGTTGTAACATTCTTTCCAAATTGGTTAGTGCAGAAGTGAGGGACCTTTGTTTCAACATGGAGGATTGCATTGTAACTGATTGCAGTACCTCAGTGGAAACTCTTTCACAAAGTAACTGTAAACAGGAATCGGCATTAACTCGCACAGCAAAATGGACAACATTCTGGCCTTTATCGTCTCTCAAACTAGCATCGGCTTTATGGTCCAGCAGTGTCTCCACATAGTCCACGTTCTTGTAGAAGACAGCCCAGTGCAAGGCCGTCCTGCCCAAGTTATCCCTGGCGTCCGGATTAGCATTATGGCGTAGCAACAGACGACAGCACGCGAGATGGTCCGTCGGCACAAGCGGGCGGTGCCAAGCAGCACCACCGGGGCCGGGGCTTGTGGGGGCCGCTCCACGGCCCGAGCGCTGCACGCACTGAATCAGCGGAGTTGCACCGTCTTGGGAACTGCAGTTTGCGTCAACCTTCTGACCCATGCCCTCCAGAAAAGCTTCGAGGTTCTCAGGGTTTCCGCAGCTGGCGAGTCGTAGAAACTCTTCTTCCTCTTTCGGCATGTTGACTTAACGAAACACCACATTTGTTTGATGGAAGAATAAATCAGGGCATTTTGTCGGTCGTCAATTGGGCATGCTCTTGCTACTTTCTTTCAAGGCCAAACAACAAATCTCAGCAACGTAGGAGTTCCAAACCCCGGACTCATGTCAGTTAGGCTCCATTGACTTTCGGCAGGATAATCTTTGGCGAGTCTTGGGGACTTCATCTCAATATATGGCAACACTTTGCTTCATGAATCTCTTATACTATAATTTCAAGTTGATTTATATTTGGTTTGGACATGAAGTAGTTCTAAATGCTTACATGCTTTTGAAGCTAAAAAGCTAAACTGGAAACAAATCCCGAGTTTCAAAAATTCCTTAGCTCAGACCCATTCAAGCATGGCCATTCGAAGTCGAGGCTGATGACGTGTGCGCGCCATGCGGGAAATTTGATACGAAAAAGCACGTGTGACACTACAGCCATGATGTGCGGGAGCGATATGTAAGAAAGTTTCTCGATTTTACACTAAACCGGTGCCAAATGATGGCTCTAATTACCTCTTACTTTAAATAAAATGATGCATAACAAATCTCACATTGCTTTGAGAGTGATTTTGAGGGCAAATGGTGTGGGAAATGTAGCGATTTTCGTGGCTTTCGTGAGGCATAATTTGCATGCACGTGTACTGTGCAATTTAATCAGTCGAGAACATTTTTAAGTATTTCCGAACCGAATTCTCAGTCCTAGATTCATGTCTTATTATAACTTTTGCAATGACAGACCTTTATTGAGATGATAGCCTATTGCAGCGTCATGCATGTTGCAACATTCGGTAATCCTTACTTTTAGGACCCCTTTCCTATATAAGGTTGAAAGACTCACCAAAACAGCTGACTAAATGACACTCAAAAGTGACATTCTGATATTTATTGACACATTTGAACATTTGGCAATGACACCTCTTGAATATCAGCAGGTTTGATTTTGTAGAAAGAGGGCAGGGTTTTGATTTATGAGGGGTTAAAGACGACGATGAAAAACAGAAAATAAATTTAAAAAGCAAGATGGTGAACTGCAAAAAAAGGTAGGAAAGTCACATTTTCTTCGAAAGTGCTTTCCAAATTATAACTAACAATAACATGAGTTTGTCTGAAGAAAAAAGACTTCTTTAGCCTGCAAAAGTCACTTTGGTACTGAACAGTCATCTGCAAAAGTCAGTTTTGAACAGAACTCATACAAAATAGAGGTGTCCTAAAAGTAAGGATTACCCAACATTCTTTCTGAAACGTGAGATATATAGGCTAGCAATAGTACAACGTTTCAACAAGTAGGCCCTAGCATGTTTTTGTTGAAAAATTGTCTTCCGGCATGACTAGGCCACACCAGTGTTGACATGGCTTAAAGGCGGTTAAAAAACACATGGTAAGCGTCCCCGCCCCCTTCCTTTTTCAAGTTTTTGGAATGGTGGCCGCCTCCTTGACATGTAATAATTTTGGCCTCTATCTGTTGCATATCCAGCCCATATAAAGCTTCCGCTTTCTGGGTCCAAAGGCAAAAAACAACTGGCGGCCATCTTGAAAAATAGCCCAGTTGGTTGGCCATTTTTGAGGGGAAAAAAGCCTTCTGCTTCCTTGTTTTCAAAAAGGCAGGATACTAAACATGTTTTTTTTCGCCAAATATTTTGACTTTTACAATGTACTAGCCTCTTGCACTGTGGTGTGATCCCTCTGTGCTGCCATATTTGTAACCGTTGAGTGGGTACTTGTGCAAAATGAAGACCATATGTGCATCGATGTTGTCCCTTGACAGTTGGTTTCATTATTTGTTTTGATTCTAGGAATGTGATGCAACTCCAACTACAACTACAGATGTCTGTCTTTTTGATGAGACAACTAATCAGGGCTTTCCCTCAGTGCTTCACAGCACTGACTGCTGCTCAGCAACAGGTTGGTTTGAAAAAATGTCACATTACGAGCACATTCTCGTTAGGCCTACATGTACTTCACTTAACTTATTTTTTATGAAGAGGCTTGCGGTTTTTGCTGAAGTCAGTCGAGCATAATAGGCCGTCTCATAAGGTTTGTGCAGTGTGCATAGTGTAGAATGTTTAGAGGACCAAATTTTTTTCTGCAACATGTCAGTGATCTCATGCCCAAAATTTACTTGATAAATGCAGACTTTGTATTTGTTTGGGCGCAGTTTGAGCCATAAATTACTACATGTAGCTCTGTATAGACCAGTCATGCTCTTGTACATGTAGACCATCTTCATAGAAACATTTAAACTGCATGTTCAACGTTTTGGAGGATTTTTGAGGTTGAGGCTGTCAGTTTGTTTTGGAGGTCAGGATGTATTATGTAAATATCTTACAGACGTGGCTTCAAACAAAGTTTTTGTCTACCATGTATATTGACAAAGTAAAGTTTTAAAAAACCCTGGGTTTTTTTTATGCCATTTAAGCATTTTGAAATCATTTTGTAAAGTCGAGAAACTTGGCAGCCTCATCGATCAAATTGTACCTCCGTTGTGAAGTCATCTCATTTCCAAAACTTTAAGTGAATTCCATAATAAAACATCTGACTGTGTTTCCGAACAGTTGACCGTGCTGATTTGGAAATATCTGGGTCTGGCTGTGTCCTATACCCTACTACCTTGCCCAGGATTTATCAGGTTTATTCCAGTTTTGTTTGAATTTTCTTGATTTAGGAATCCGACATGGATCCTCTGTGATTCCAGGATACTGCTTGCCAAGCGGACACTGTTGATGAGAAGCCAAGCCCTACCCTAAAAACTAGTAAGTGTGTTTCTGTATATTTTACATCATTTGACCTTGAGTCGTATTGTTGTTACTCAAGCACTATTTTCATTTAATCAGTTGGTTAATTGCCCACATGCTATAAATGAATGAACCATGCAGAAACATTTGAGGAGTGAGTTGCAACCTATACGGATACAATTTTGCACCTGCATGAACAGTCGCAGTGCATGCTGAAGCGCATTCAACTTCCTTGAAGACAACAGTACCGATCATGCCCAGCCTGAAGAAAAGCACACAATTACAGCCTGAGCCTTGCAACGAAGACTTCCATGCTGCAGGAGAAGATACAGTGGAACGTCGTTATACTGAACTCCAAAATATACCGAACATTCGGCTATACCGAACATCGTCCTTGGCTCTTAATTTTTGTGTACAAAGTGTACCGAATATTGCTGTTAAAAAATGTCAACAGAAAAGCGAAAAGCGGCAATTATTTCCCTAAGGAATAGAAGGAAAAAGCCACCCATTGCTGTAGGTACTGATAGTAAGCTCACAATCTGTGTAATTACAATCTGTGTAATTACATTATTTAATAGTCGGCATGTGTTCAAAGTCATCTTTCAGTAACTAGAAGTACCAGGGCATGCTGGCTGAATTTCTGAAGGGCACTATTTATTGAAAAATGAGTACCAGAGCACTGGCAGCTGAAAATCGCTATACCGAACGATCGCTATTACGAACAATTTCTGTGGATCCTGGGGATGTTTGTTATAGCGGTGTTCTACTGTAACATTGATGAAGCAGAGATCCCCGAAGAACCTGAAGAGCACTCATGATGATTCATCAGAATACATCCAATCATCATCGTACTCAGACTCATCTGACTACTTTAGCCAGATCAATCAAAAGGTCATCTTACATTTCATTTTTGTGGCATTGTACTGTACAGCTCAGCTGTACCATGTAATTTTGAGGAAAAAGGTTCATCCAGCTATTCATCAAAACTATTTATTGAAAAATGAGTACCGGAGCACTGGCAGCTCAAAGTCGCTATACCGAACGATCACTATTACGATGGATCCCGTGGATGTTCGTTGTTGCGGTGTTCTACTGTAACGTTGGTGAAGCAGAGATCCCAGAAGAACCTGAAGAGCACTCATGATGATTCATCAGAATACATGTCTTCCAGCATGACTAGGCCACTCCTTTAGCCAGATCAATCAAAAGGTCATCTTACATTTCATTTTTGTGGCATTGTACTGTACAGCTCAGCTGTACCATGTAATTTTGAGGAAAAAGGTTCATCTAGCTATTCATCAAAACTATTTATTGAAAAATGAGTACCGGAGCACTGGCAGCTCAAAGTCGCTATACCGAACGATCGCTATTACGATGGATCCCGTGCATGTTCGTTGTTGCGGTGTTCTACTGTAACGTTGATGAAGCAGAGATCCCAGAAGAACCTGAAGAGCACTCATGATGATTCATCAGAATACATGTCTTCCAGCATGACTAGGCCACTCCTTTAGCCAGGTCAATCGAAAGGTCATCTTACATTTCATTTTTGTGGCATTGTACTGTACAGCTCAGCTGTACTATGTAATTTTGAGGAAAAAGGTTCATCCAGCTAAGGAAGACCGGAACACACATTGGACTATTTTACCAGGCATTCCAAATGTATCGGATGTTTGGGAAGCATTGATTATTTTCTCGGAATGCATCTTCGCTACTGTCCGTGTGTTGGGCTATTTATTCTCACGTCCTGTCAGATGGCCTGAAATGAAGCACTTGTTCCCATTGGCGTAAATCTGTGCCGGACACCACATGCCACTAGGGGGCACTGTTTATGATGTTCATTTTATGCAAACAGGCGCACTTACAATACATCAAGGTGGTGCATAAAGCTGTTATGTATTCATTCTTCATTTTTCTGTGCTATTTAATACCGTTAGGCTTTTGGAAAGTTAGAAAATAACCTTAAAATAATTTTTTTTTGTTTCCCACAAAAAAATTCTGTTGGAGCTAGGAATGATCCAAAGGCCCATCCCCTGGTCAAAAGGGGGGATATACTCCCCATTCCTCCCCTCTTCAGGATTTACGCCCTTGAACTTAAAGGAGTTTCTTGTTGAACGTGCTTCGTCTGGATTTTACCCCAATCAATTCCTGCTACATGTATATATGATGATGCCAACTACAGGAACAGCGCCCCTTCTAGACACCGTGCTGCTTCCATCCTTTCTGAAGGTGCACTGCCTTCATCTGACTAAACACCTCAACCCAAGAAAAAGCAAAGCTGAATCCCAAGATTGCTTCCAAAGCTTGCCAAACCAGTTCCAGCAAGAAGTCTCTCAGCAGACCACTGTCACAGCCTCTTTTCCCACTTCTCCAGTCCCTTCTGCGCCCGCAGCCGTTACTGCTTGGCACTTGGGACCATTGGCTCCATATCTTCCCAAGCCATGATACAGCTCAGGTCTCCCCCACCTTCGCCTGCACTAGTGAGCTGTTCCTCAACATCAGACTTCATGGTTGCATCTGGGACCCCATCTCCACAGCCTAGCTCAGACTTAATCCCAATCCCAAGGCTTTCTTCAGAGACATTTCATGATGAGTCTACAACCAGTAGTAACACCTCAGTCTGCTAGTTGCGATGCACCCTGCTCCAGGCTGCTATATTCAGAGCCTTTCTGCTTTTCCATTGGTCTTTTCTAAGACTCCTCACGCACCAAATCAGATTTGTACTGTGAGTTACCCAAGCCGGCGCCCACCCTCGCCCCTCCCAAGAAAGGTATACCTACACAGCTACATGTACCCGGCTGATGGATTATCCAGCTAATTCGGCTTTTATGATGATCTGCCACAAGACAAAGCAACTTGAGCCTAATTCAATCAGCACGACCCCAATCACTACCCCCCCCCCCCTTTGTATAGCTCTTCGATGGGTGACCTTGATGACACTACAATGCCAGCTCCCTGGCAACCAGAAACCGTATATAGCTCAGTGTGACATGGCCATGAACTGAGTTTTCCCAAGCCGGATGTCACAGCTCCCCAACAGCCCAAGTTATTCAAACCCCTGTAAGCCTCTTACATGCACAATGAGACCCCAAGACCACAGCCAGATGGTCCATTTGACAGGGTATGTACTCAGAGAACGTTTGAGGTGCCTCAGTTGCAGCCTTCCTCGCATCGCCGAGCCCCAGCTGAAGAGACAAAACAATTCACCTCCCAGACATGGGGGATGAAATTTGACATACTTGCCGTTGACATTGGCCATCGTGCTACAGCCAGGACCTTTTCCTGCATGTTGCCGGCAATTAGATTGAAACAGCTTTTTTCCAAGTTGATCAGTTACAGTAAGCTGCCTGTTTGGGCCTAATTGCGACAACAGCCATCTCAGTCCCTCCCCCTTCCTTCGCCGATTACGTGTGTTCAAGTACCTTAATGATTGGCTTGTCGTTGGTGACAGGCAGGCCTCTACTGTTCACACACTTCAGGTGCCCAGCACTTTCACCATGGATCTGGAATTTCTCATCAATGAGAGTTCATCCCAGTTGATCCCGTCTCAATGACCCATACTTTGGTGCCATACTTAACTAACCAGAGCAGATGGCCAGTGACACAGCCAATCGCATTGGCCCTGGCTACAGTTCCTCGGCCTTGTGGCAAGTGGTTGAGACTAAGCCGTATGTACATAGTACATGTATGCATCCCAGCTCCACCTTCTTGCCTATTTTCAACCTTGGTCCCCTCCATCCAGTCTTCTCATCTACTATGCTCTCATCGTGTCTGCCAGCCTTACAAGTGGTGGTGTCAACTACATGTAGACAATATCAATCAAGGCATCTCTTTAGCTAATGACTATACAAGTTGTAACTTTCTTTGGCTAATGACTGTACAAGTTGTAACTTTGTATCAAGGACACACAGGAACATGCCAAGTACTTGCCCTCACGTGCACTTACGTAAGTGCAGCCTTCCTATTCTTATATCGCTGTCACTGAGATTGTGAGTTTAATATTGTTGTGCCAAGGTAGCGAAACTTGCGGACGTAGGGTATCATGGCTCCACATGCAAAAACACAATGTAAACAAGTTAAGTGATTGCCAAAGTATTGTATAACTCCACTGCGCGGACCTTCAAGGCAGCTGGCCTGAAACGCTATGATGTTTTTGGCAGGACAATATGGCGAACCCTGCAGGGCATAAAGACTTTATTTCAAACGAAAGGCTGCGGGGTGGCGGAGATGATTGGCAGACGCTGATGTCTTACAGGTGATGAGGTACGTGTTAGAGCGGAAGGCTATGTGGTGTGCTCATGTGATGAGACAAGGAGGTCTGCCCTGCACAGTTATAGACGGTTTGCCTACGGGAATGAGACGTGGCAGAGGTCGCCCTAAGTTGCGCTGGGTAGAGAATGTGACAAAGTTGAGTGGCAGAAGTGTGAAAGACCTGAGAATAGCAGCGATTGAAAGAGAACAGGTGATGGCGTTGACTCAAGGGAAACACCCCATTACCATGACAAGGCGGTCACAGATGCAAGTCTTTGCCGAATGATGATGATGATGATGATGATGATGATGTGGTTACTGTCAAATTAACAAGAATAAACTCAATTACCAGAACAAAAATTGGCCTCATGTCTCCAGTGATTTTTGCCTGCGCCTTGTGTTCATGGTTGTTTATGTCATTGTAAAAAATGCATGTTAATCTGTGTAATTCTCAAGAAGTGAAATGAAATAAAATATTAATAAAAGTCATGGTCATTGTGTTCTTGGATTAACTTGTGTACATTGTGTTGTTTTGATTCATCTGAAAGTTAATCAAAAATTAATAAACTACATGTAGAATCAGCTCACATTACATGAAATAGTGTCCTTATGTCTCCAGTCATTTGTCCATGTTCTTTGAGTTCATGGTTTTGTGTGTCATTGTGAAAATACATGTACCGGTAAATCTGTTTTCTCAAAAGTAAAATGAAATAAAAGTCTTGTCCAAAAATGTCTTGCTTTGTCGTCATTGTGTTGTGATTAACTTCTTTAGTTGTGTTGTGATTAACTTCTTTAGTTGTGTTGTTGTTGTTGTTGTGATACATCTTTTGTACACTTCTATAAGTAATAAAACAAAATCAGCTCACATTACCAGAAATAACAAAATCAGCTCACATTACCAGAAATAGCTTGTCCTACATGTATGTCTCCAGTCATTTGGGCATGTTTTTTGTGTGTTCATGGTTGTTTATGTCATTGTAAAAATGTATGTAGCCTAAATCTGTGTTCTCAAAAGTAAAATGAAATAAAAGCCTTGTCCAAAAATGTCTTGCTTTGTCATCATTGTGTT